GCGATCCGATTGGTCATTCTCGGCTTATAGGGTTTTCGGCACGCAGGGACGGACCTTAGATAGAGTTTATAAGTAGTTTAACTATAACTGGTTATAATTTTTACTAAAAATATTGAAAACTTCTATTTATAAGAAAATACGAGACGTTAATCAGCTCTAGTCTTATTTCAGATCTTAGTAAGCTTATTAATTAAATTTAGTCTCTCTCCTCTAACAGTTCTCTAAGGTCTGTCCCTGCGTGCCGAAAAACCCTAGGTGCCGAAAACGACCAATCGGATGTCAAGGATCATGAACTTCTGTCTAGCCGTTGCGATCCGATTGGTCATTCTCGGCTTATAGGGTTTTCGGCACACAGTGACGGACGTTAGTGTAATTTAAGTTGGAGATTCCAATACCAATCTAGCAGCCACGGCACGTCACGGAAGTAGAATCCTAGTCGTTGTAAGGGGCTGCGCTCCGTGGAGCAAACGCTTGGGTATACAAGGATTGTCTTCGATGGAGAGCTAGCTCCTAAGCCGCGTGGTTGTATATATATGGTGCGGTTGCCTGAGCAACTATCAGGCCAGCGGCTTAGGAGTTTGCTAGAAGGTTCTATACCAAGCTGAGATTCCATCGAGGAGCTGGCTCGAAGGGCGTTCAGCCCGTTACAATACCCCCCTTCTTAGGGCTGAGCCCCATCACCTCTCCTAAATCCTTCTGGAAGTCGTCCGTTACTGTCTTGAATTGCTTCTGTGAATGCTTCCCACCTGTCTAGTGCTGGGTGTCCTCTAGGAGCTCTGCTGGTTCGAGAGTTGGCCGGTGGAATCCTTTCCACTTCACCTCGTAGTAGAGCTTCTGTCCTCTGCCTCGTCGTCGTACTTCTTCTGCTACAGTGTCCTCTACTTCCCATTCTTCTCCTCCGTCTACCTGTAATGGCTGTGGCTGCTCATCATCCTGAACTTGGCTCGGAAGCGGGTCACTACTGGCGAGTTTTAACCTATCAACGTGGAAAATAGGGTGCGGCCCTAGAGGTGTATCTAGCTTGACTGAATGACTATTGATTACCCTGACCATAGTATACTTGGCGTTCTTCTAGTCAAGTTTCTTAGAGCTCCGCCCGGTGCTGTATTGCTGATCAAGTTTTAGCCATACTTTATCGCCTACCCGAAAGCTCTGAGCTTCTCTCCGGGTCTTGTTTGCTTGTCTCTCTTGTTCTTGCTGGGCGACTGCCATACTGGCTTGGGCTAGCTCTATGGCCTGCTGTATTATTATTATTATTATTATTATTATTATTGATTAACGTCCTGTGTCAGCCCGAAGGCTATATAAGACGTGTAAGCTAATACAGCTTATAAGTATCTATGTAACGTCGGTCACTGCGTAGCGAGACACACTGCGTAACGAGACTCCACAGCCACTCCCCAACATGGCAAACTCAACAACAGGTTATAACAGTAGTTAGACATTCTCGGAACAGTAGCCTTACGCTACAAAGTCTATTCTACCCTAATATCTTTAAGAAACATGTTTAGCTTACTATATAATACGACAATTTGCTACGAGCGTGTTACGAACCTGAATGGAGAGGCACGGCGGTTAAGTTAAGGAATCACGGCGGCCAACCAACCCACCCATATGTAACGCGGGGGCATAGATCACGTGACCTCCTCGGCGCTTCATGCACGAGGAAAGGTCTTGGCGCACTCCTCGTACATACGCCATAGAGGAATACGCCTCGTACCTAAGCCACCGAGTATTCCTCGGACTCCTCTGACCGAGGGCTACGAGCACCAATAGTATATAGCAATAGGCAATGAGCTCTTATGGTTCATTGTGTTCAACTTTAGATATTCAATCAAGCAGTTACCTTCTAGCCACTCCTCAGTAACGCACTTCTGATCAGTGACTACTCGTTCACAGCACCCTGCTGTCAGGAACAGCCTCTCTGTCTGCCTTTCCGGCTTACCAAAAACCCTCCTTAGTCAGCTCTAGGTATAGTTATAAGTCCCAAGCCTACCTTTCTTAGGAGGCTAAGGATTCGTCTCGTGAATATACTACCACTTGCTGCCTACTTGATCTGCTCTTGCTTGTACCGTGCTTATCCCTAACAAGTGGTCTAACATTCGAATCCTTCACCCTTCGGCACGCTACTAAGCGAGAAACCTGCAAGATGAGCAGCGACAACGCCCGCATGACGCGAAGCCGACAGCGAACGGCGCCACCTGCAGAAGAGCGGACCCCACCAAACCAATCCAACCGAAATGGGGCGGATCTGCGCGTTGCGACCCCAGAGAGGACCTCTGTGGACCTAATTGATCCTGAAGGCACCGCAGAGGCCCAATCTGAGCCAACCCAGCCAGACGTGGCGGGAGACGAGCCAACGGGGCTCTCAACGACCCAACGCCTGCAGGAACTAAGAGCTTGGTTCCAAAAGGTGCAGGAGGAACAAGAATTGCACCGCCTTCTGGAAATTAAACGCAGAGTGGAACAAGGCGACACATCTGCGCTCCAGGAAGGACAACCCAGTGCGCCACAGCCATACACCGCACCAGCTGAACCAAACAATAAGACTCCACGCCCTGAGAAACCAACTCAGTTCGCAAACCGCGACCGCGCCGAATATAACCGCTGGGAGCGCGAATGCGAGGCAACCTTCCGTGGAAGCCCTAAGAACTTCTACTCGGAAGCTACTAAGATCGATTTTGGGATAAGATACATCTCAAATACGCTAAGAACCCTATGGGATGCCTACTCCCATGATAATCAACGGAAAAGTGATCGATGGCAACCAACGTGGACAGAATTTAAGACGGTAATGCTTAATGCGCTAGGACCGCAAGAACAAAGGAAGCTTGCAGCTCACCAAGCCCTAAAGTCCATCAAACAAGACTGGAATCAGGATCCCAACGACCTTCTATCCAAACTAGACACACTTTGGACTGAATTGGGCCAATCCTACCCAGAAGAGCAAAGAATTATGGACTTTGTAGGGGCTTTGCTCCCTACGGTACAAAAGGACCTCCTCCTGCTAGAACCAGAACAGAGGAGCTCTATCACAGACGTCAATAGCCGTGCGCGCCTTATATGGAATCGATATAGGCGCGAGAAACCCCAAAGGCCTGGAGAAGGTAAATCCACCCACAGTAGAACCCTCACGAACGAAAGGGGTGTTCAAAAGACCTGGAAAAAACCAAGGCGGGATGGACCGGACCACAAAGGCCCAAATTGGGGTAATAAGGCCGGAAACAGAGAGAAACCCTCCAACGAAAACTGTTTCAAGTGCGGGAAACCCGGACACATCGCAAGGGGCTGTAGGGAGTCCAACGTAAGCAACTCCGGAGCACCCGACGATAATTCGGAAAAAGGCAAGGGCTCGAAGGGCAAGTAGCCGCCCTTTCTGCCCATATTGCCAGGCTACAGTCAACAAGGGACTTAGGTCCACTAAGGGAGGCTCTTCAATCTAAGTCAACCCCATTGTTGACGGTGAAGGCCAAGGTTGGGGACTCTGACCCAATCGACGCCTTGATAGACGGGGGATCCCAATTGAACCTCCTGTCAGCAAACCTAGCCAAGGAGCACGACCTAACAGTCGAGCCTCTACCATCTCTAGTAGCAGAGGGGCTAGGCGGGTCAGAAATAAAACTGTATGGACTTACAGTTGCGAAGCTTCTTATTACTGACTCGAGAGGACGTACAAAGGAGCAGGAAGTGCCCTTTGTAGTGGCTGAGATCAAAAGATTCCAAATATGTCTAGGACTACCTTGGATCGATTCATGCCAGCCTAAGATTAGCTACGCAAGCAGGCGTATGCTCTTTAGAGGCGAAAAGGCCCAAGCATGGGCGGGATTCCAGAAGTTAGCCTTAGAAGAGGCTGAGGAATTCGAGAAGACGCTGAGGACGCCCATGACGGACGTCTACGCGCTCTTAGTATCCGCGGTGAGCAGTGTCGACCCTGGAGAGGACGACGAAGGCCAAGATGGCCAAAATTGGGCTGGAGGTGCCCGGATTGGCCCGGAAGGGACCAATGAACCTCGTATGCCACCAGAGTATGCGGATTTTGCGGGACTTGGCTCTGAAGAGGACTCGCGAACCCTTGCCGAGCATGGTCCCCAGGATTTGGTGATAACCTTGCAAGAAGGCACCATGCTACCCCATCAACCCTTGTACAGCCTCTCAAAGGCTGAATTGGCGTTGCTTCGCGAGTACTTGGACGAGTATCTCGCAAGGGGATGGATAAGACACTCAAAGTCGCCAGCAGGCGCTCCTATCCTCTTCGCTAAGAAGAAAGACGGTAGTATGAGGTTATGTGTGGACTATCGAGGTCTAAACAAGATAACTATCAAAAACCGTCACCCCTTACCCCTGATTACGGAGTCCTTAGATAGATTAGCGCAAGCTAAAATCTATACTAAGTTAGATGTCCGAGAAGCATATCATAGGGTACGGATTAAGGAGGGAGACGAGTGGAAGACCGCCTTTCGCACAAGGTACGGTCATTTTGAGTATACAGTAATGCCTTTTGGCCTTACAAATGCTCCTGCGCAGTTTCAGGCGTATATCCACTATGTCCTAGCAGGACTAGTAGATGTAACCTGTATTGTGTACTTGGACGATATCCTAATCTTCTCTGACACAGAAGAGGACCACGTGAAGCACGTGAGGGAAGTCCTAACTAGATTAAAGCAAGCAAAGCTATATCTGAAGAATTCAAAGTGCGAGTGGCACACTCGACGCACAGAATTCCTAGGCTACATAGTTAGCCCCGAAGGGATAAGTATCGACCCAAAGCGGGCCAAAACGGCCCAAGAATGGCCAGAACCGCGCACAGTGCGCGACATTAGAGTCTTTCTAGGCTTTATGAACTATTACAGACGATTCATTGCTGACTTCTCTAAAGTAGCCTTACCACTCACCGAGCTAACTCGGAAAAGCTCAAACTCCGCGAAGGGAGGCCATGCGCAGCGAAAGGAAGAAAGCGTACCCCTCCAGCTAGGGGAGCGCGCGAAGCACGCGTTCCAGAAACTAAAGAAATCTTTTATAGAAATCCCAATACTAGCACACTTTAAACCAGAAAGACGCACAAAGGTGCAAGTAGACGCCTCAGGAGGCGCTATTGCTGGTATCCTCAGCCAATACGTAAAAGAAGAACAACGTTGGCGACCAGTCGACTTCTACTCGCGCAAACTGATCGACGCCGAGTACAATTACGACACCCATGACCAAGAACTGCTAGCTATTGTTAAAAGCATCCAACATCGGCGGAGATACCTAGAGGGAATCCATTTTGAGTTATTTACAGACCATCAGAACCTTCAATGGTTCATGACCACCAAAACGCTCAATCACCGCCAAGTTCGGTCCTATTTGGCCCTATCCGGGTTCGATTTCACCATTACGCACCAACCCGGCAGGAATAACCCCGCCGACAAGCCATCTAGGCGACCTGACTACATGGAGGCCGCAAAGGAGCCAGTTCAAAAATACAACATGGCTTTTGCCCCAGAACTAAAAAATATCCTGTCTAGGGTAACTCCTGCAGAAACACCAGTAGTAGCGGCAACCACCCGAAGCCAGGCAAAAACGAACTTCCCCACTTCCCTGCAGAAAGCAAGGAAAGAGTTCCAGTGTGTGGAACGACACCAACCTAGGGAACCAGGGACAATTGAAGAACGGACCGAGACAGAGGAAGATTCCTCGGACTCCTCAGAAGCGAGCGAGCCCAAAGAAACATCACACAAGCCAGAACGGCCCAGATCGGGCCAAGAAGGCGCAACCCAACCCATGACAGCGGAAGAAAAAGCAAAAGCACTCGAAGAATGCCACGACAGCCCGTTAGCAGGACATTTTGGTGCAAGAAGAACATTAGAGAAACTCTCAAGGCGATACAAGTGGAAAGGAATGAGAAAGGACGTGGAAGAGTACTGCCGGGCTTGCCCAACCTGCCAAAAGGCGACGCCCCGCAGACACCTACCCTTTGGACCCCTAGCTCCTTTGCCAATACCCGATCGCCCATGGGAAGAGGTAACGATGGATTTCATCACGGAGCTTCCCCCAAGCAAGCTCTCAGGCGTAGTCTACGACGCAATACTAGTAATAGTGTGCAGACTCACCAAAATGGCCCATCACGTGCCAGCGAGGGCCAATTGGGACGGAGTTGACTTAGCCCAGGCCTGGATACGCGAAGTCATACGACTACACGGCGTACCACGCCGGATTATTTCCGATCGCGGTCCCCTGATGAATTCCTCCCATTGGAAGACCTTCCTACACTACCTCAACTCAAGAAGAGTTCTTACCTCCGCTTACCACCCACAGACGGACGGTCAGACCGAACGTCAGAACCAAACACTAGAACAGTACCTGAGATGCTACTGCACCCTGGAACAAGACGACTGGGCTTTATGGATCTCAGTTGGGGAATACGCATACAATGATAGCATTCACGCGACCACAGGGGTCACCCCCTTCCAGGCTTACTACGGAATGCACCCAAGAAGCGCAGATTGGCCTAAACAGGCCCAATCCGGGGGCGAAACCCCTATAGCATACCGAACCGCTACAAGGATCCTTGAATTGCAACGGGAGTGCAAAGAAAAGATTAGAAAAGCCCAGGAGTACCAGAAGCAATATGCAGACAAAAAACGCCTACCTATACCTTTCAAGGTCGGGGATCAAGTTCTAGTATCTAACAAACATATCAAATCTCTACGCCCGAAAAAGAAGCTAGACTGGAGATACGTAGGTCCTGGGACCATAGTAGCCCAAATCGGGCCAACTGCGTTCAAAGTGGACCTCCCAGGTCTGAAAAGCGTACACCCAGTCTTCCATGCATCATTACTTGAGCCCTATCGACAGAACGAGTCAATTCCTCACCCAAAGGTAGCATCCCAGCACCAAGTAGGTGAATACGGCGATGACGTATACTATGTGGACAAGATACTTGACCACAGGAAGAATAGCGACGATCAGTGGGAATACTTGGTAAAATGGACTGGTTACCCGGACTCCGAGAACACATGGGAACCAGCAGCCAACATAACCCAAAAATCACTTAATGAATTCTGGAAGAAGTCGAACCAAATGGCAAAGCGTGGAAAAGGCCCGAAGAAGGCCAAATCGGCCTAAAAAGGCCCAAAGTGACCCTTACCAACAAGAGACATGTACCTTCACCCAATTTTGCCCGATTCTATCGGTTTTTGGGGTGTTTAATGGCATGATGGGGCAACAGGAGGAACAACACGCTACGCCAGGTCCAAGCGCACGAACTAGAGAGAGAACATGTACCTTCACCCCACTTTTCCCGAATCTGTCGGTTTTGGGGGTGTTTAATGGCATGACTACCTAGTATAAATTGAGCTGGGCTAACGTGGGCCAATCTGACCCAAATCGACCCACCCAGACTCACCACAACTCAAAGTGCACTCCTGAATTTGGGGTTAGGGACTTAGAAAACCTTTCAAAAAAAAATTTAAAAGAAAAAAAAAAGAGGAAAGACAATAAGTCAAAACTCTCATTAATTGACTATCAGAAAACGGGGTATCACTTGAGAAAGGAAAACCCTCCACCACCACGATCTACTCCGGGAAGGCCCAATCCGACCCAAGTCGGCCCAAACTGGCCTGTCCCGAACCATCTAGATCCAATCAAACCCGAACCCGAATAAACAAACTAGTTTCCAGCACCCTTGGACTGAACATACTCAGCCAGGCGATCCTTAGCATCAGACAAGGCCTTCTTCTTGCCATTGATCTGACGGGTCTTGACACCCCTAGGATTGCCAGAAAGGCCCTCTTTCTCAGCCTCCATGGTAGCAACCTCAGCAGTGAGATCATCGACGGTCTTCTTGAGGGAGGCCAGGACCATGTCGACCTGAACAGCCTTGAAATTGGTCAGTACAGTCCAATCCGGGCGCGATAGCCCCGATCAGGGCTAAGGGAATCACATACCCTCTTCCTTGGGGTGCCATTTTGGGTCTTGTGCTTCTTCATGATATGGTTGACTTTCTCTTCTTGAAGTCGTTCCAAGGCACCTCGAGCTCGGCCGGAATCTACCAAGTCAGCCCAATTTGGCCCAAAGAGGGCCAATCCAGCCCAAGTCGGGGCAACTTACCGCAAAGCAGTCTCGACCAAGGAAGACGCAGCGCAAACACTTGAAGGTCTGCTGAGGAGCACCACCATCCTCAGGAACCACCACATAGGTCCCAAAGACCTTCTGAACATCCTCATCGGAGCAATAGAGGGCCAAATCAGCCCAAAACAGCCCAAAACAGCCCAAAACAGCTATTGCAGGAATTCTTACCTTCACTAGTAAAGGCAACGCTGCGGTTGCCTAGTGACGTCATTGCGCAACCAGCGGAGCAAGTAAAAGAGAAATTTTTGCCCCACTCAGCCGTAACTCAGGAAGGGCTGCCCTAGCACAACACAGCCCACATAGGGGTGATTCAGCCCAAATAACCCCAAGGCACCGCGAGGCGCGCTGCCATGCCTTCTACCACGTTAGCTGGGACAGCAACGCCCTAAGAGGGGGGATAATGTCAGGAACAGCCTCTCTGTCTGCCTTTCCGGCTTACCAAAAACCCTCCTTAGTCAGCTCTAGGTATAGTTATAAGTCCCAAGCCTACCTTTCTTAGGAGGCTAAGGATTCGTCTCGTGAATATACTACCACTTGCTGCCTACTTGATCTGCTCTTGCTTGTACCGTGCTTATCCCTAACAAGTGGTCTAACACCTGCCTCTCATCCGCGAAAACCAACCGCTTGACCTGTCTTAGCTACTTAGGTAGTTATCCCAGGATCTTATTAGAGCGTTATACGACCGCCTCGCTTTAGCTGGCAGTAAATGCGTTAAAGGCTTATACATTTTATTGAAAGGTCGTTAGCTTGCAGCTTCTTATATCATTATCCTATCCTAAGTACTGCGCTTAAGCTCGAGAGGTTGTTGTGCTTCTGTGCTAGTTCTAAGTCCACCTGCTAGAAGTGCCAGATAAGGATGACCCGCACATCTAGCTTAAAGCAGCTTAGCTATAACCTATCGCTGCTGACACTAGATCTGTGGCTGAGTGGCTATGTGGCTATGTGGCCGCACGGTGCCTTTGCCAAGTGCTCTAGGGCACCCGAGAACCGGCTCAGGTTAGAAGCAAGGCTATATTTGAAAGCTATAGCGTATAGCTTGTATCAACAAACACACCCAGCAACTAAGCTGCAATCAGTTTCCAATACAGCTATCGTGCAACTTCGAGACGCAGTGTAACTAGTAGACGACCATAGCTAAGGCGAACGCTTGCATGCCATAGTTAGAGATAAACCGTCGCGCCGCCCTCCGGCTCCGTAGCCCCGCTGTTAATCCCCCGTCCGACCTAACCACGTCCTCGTCCTTCTCAAGCACATCGCAACCAATATATATATACCAAATAGTAGCTGAATATCGCTTTAGCTCGTTAAAGGGCAACACTATGAGTTAGCTAGCGTCTAAGGAAGGGCGGGCAGGTCTCACCTAGCGGGCATGGCCAGAGATAGAGACCAACTAACATAATATAGTATACTAAGGTCCAAATCTAGGCGTTAGCAAGAGAAGTGAGTATTACCAGAAGAACGTCGTCGCCGCAAGGGCATACCAAGATAGAAAGGGTCTGCATATAGCTAAGTTTACATTGCCTAAGCTAGATTAATAGTATATGTCATCTCCTTAGCTTTTGCGAAGCTAGTTTCATCATCCCAAGCGGACTGATATCCTTCCCTTCGGTCGAAGTTAAGCGCGACAACAGGCCATAGACCGGCATCATTCAATCGACTTGTTTGACGAAACCTGTAAGCCTTATTCCAATCCTTGTTCCCTCGGCAGTCAGTGCAGTCACAGTAAACAGTCGACTTGCGACACTTCAGGCTTTCTCCGGTTTTTGGGATGTACGCGTGTTTGCGGTCCAGATTCTCGACGAGATCGACGACTGAATGCTGCAAGCAACGCATAGGAGCGTCATTGCCCGTTAATCTTTTCACCCGTCCTGTCAGGAGCAGGTCAATCCATTCGCAGAAATATCCCATCGGTTGCCTGAATTTCGTATCCCATTCCCGGTGGAACTGATCAAACCCTTTGACCTGAATGCCTGATCCTCCTTCAACCGCATCGTTCACGTCGTCTTTCGGGTCGTCTTTCTCGAGCTTGGCAATCATTCGCTCAGCTACCCGGACACGAGCGGCAGGCCAAACACCGACATTCATCCCGTCAAGATTGCGACGCCGGTCCAGCTCCTCGTCTATTATGTACATAATGATCCGCAGCTTTTGCAGCCTGCGGTCCTCGGTGAACGATAAGTACCCCGTCTTCGTGCGGAGGATGTGAGCATAAGCCAGATACTGCGCGAGTAGATAGCACGTATAGATTTTCAAGTCATCGAGCCCTTCGTCTGTTGAAAGATGCTGCCGGCTAATAGGATATTCGACCAGTTCGTATATTCGCAGCTGCAAGTTAAATGCCGCAACGAGAAATAGCTGGGCGTATTTTTCTGTCAGATTGGCTATTTCTCGTTTGTGGGTGCGCCGTTCAGTGCGCCAACTCAGGAAAAGACTGAGGACAGAGCCTAGCAAGCCAATTACGGCCACTGTGATAGGAATGATAAGGTCGGTCCTGGCTATGAAGGATCAATTTGATACATAAAACTTCTCGGATGAGTTGTAAAAAGTGCTAGAACTTCGTGTAGAGGAATTTATATTATAAAGGAGAGATGTCGCGGCCTCTAGGGTTCCAATGAAATTCACAAAAAAGAACGGAGGCATCCTGGTTTAGCATGGAAGGTTTGCTAAGTTTATTGAATTCGCTAAACTTAAACCTGTGGCGCGTTCAAGTGAAGGGCGATCCTAAGCTAGTGGATTTGTTCTTTTCAGCTCGTCCTACAACAGTCAGCGATCAGCCAACTCTACTAATAGCCATCTTGGCTGCAAAACGCCACCAAGTCATCGCTAAGTAGTAACGTATTTGGTAGGCTAGTAGCCCAGGAACTGCTGCCTAAGTTAATGGAACTCTGAAGTCACGGCGGCAGTCGCCGGGTCACCCTCAGATCTCAATGTGCCAGGACTGATAACGAGTCCCTGTATGCCACATCGATGCATTTGGTAGAGAGTTTTCGCCTTTGCGGAATGCTGTAAGCATCCTTGTAGCAGCTAATCCTAATAAAAGCAAGTCTGAATTAAGCGATACAGGGGCCCTTGTAGGCTAAGCGTTTCGTGTAATACGCAGACCGGAAGCCGATTGTGCAAGCGAGTGTACCTGCACTAGCACTAATAAAGCGAGTGTATACAAAATCGTCGCGACTGTATTATCATCAGAATCTACCTAGAACCGATAGAAGCAAGTACGCTACTGTAGATGCCCAGGAGTTTGCGATCTGGACGCGTGGGAGAGATGGCAATCTCGACCCCTGAACGCGACCGCGACCGCGACCGCGAAGCGACATCCCGGCCAACCGAGCTACCAGCACCACTGAAGAGGCGCGCAAGGAACACCACCGGGCAAAACGAATACTACCGCAGCCGACCGCTACAGCTAGACCTATCAGCTATGTTCAAATACTAACAGGAAATTCCGCGGCACTATGCTTGAAATAGGCTAGAAAACGCTATTCAGATAATACACTAATAAGCACTAGAAGTAGCCGCATTCGTGGAAGCAACTAAGTTTCCAGCGCCTTTCCCTGGGCAAATTGATGAAGTGGTCCCATTCCTGCACATGTAGCTGCCCACCTGTTCTTTGAATGTACTAGACACTTCCTTGAGGCCGGGGTACCATTGCCCTTCCCCTTCCCCTCCTTCCTCTTTGTATACCGTATCGCATTTATCGTCACTGAATAATTAGAGATCCGACTATAGACTTGATGTGATACTAGATATACCTAAAGAACTGGCAGCACAAGCCCAAGTCGATTGCAATGGAAGCGACATCATTAAGCCTATCGGCGGCTACACAGCGGTTGGACGATATGATTGGTGCAGCACATTCGCTCCATGCTGTCTTTGAGCAAAAGTGCAACTTCGCCTGGCCGTTAGGTCTGTTTATGAGTGCTTAATTTTTTACCTACCCTTCGTGGGCAATCAGCTTGCTCAACCCGGTTATGCTGAAGATCAACCATCATTGTTGATTGGGCGAGAACATTGCCTAAAAACGCGCTCGAAAAGCATAAATGTTGATACCGCATATTGAGGTTAACTAAGTGAAAGTTTAATTTCAAGCTGTAGATGTGACTAGCAAAGATGATATTTCAATTCGCATTATATATTCGAAAATCGATACTCGGAGGTCTCTTTTATTGCTGAATGAATTTTGAGAGGGACTTGATTTATGCAGGCGGGTCCTAATTGAACCGCATCTATTCATCTGTAGGCTGTCCTGCATGGCCAACCAAGCAGTCTAGACTTCAGCAAAGCCAGTTTTGTACATATCAAGAACAGATAGGTTGTTTAGGGTCTATGCGTTCGTTTTCTACCAGGTTCAGTTTGTTGACGCATATCCTCATACTCTGAAGTGCCACTATGATGTCAATAATTACTGTATCACAACTCTTTACTCTCAATTAACTCTCCCTAATCTTTGTCCTATAACTTATATCGACTTGATTCCACAAAACACTCATCTCAAAGTACTATAGGCCCTACCGCTATCCAACTAGCAAAGAGAAGAGACAAGGAGAAAGTTAGCGGAAGCCGTGTCTAAGAGTTGAGAACCAGATCAATACTGCTGCGCCAGATCTAGAATTAACTGCTCTATAGTAGGCTATTCGGCTAACAACTCTAGAATCGAGTGCTGGAGCTAGACTCGCTACGCCTACAATATGCCTTAACAGTAACAAAGCTTCTAGATATCTACAAGATTAGGTATATCGTTAATATTTTCTCAGACTATTGATAGCGTCTTAACAGTTTCGTCCTCATCTAAACGCAACTTTACACCTCCTTTAAAGACTCGGATAACTATACTTACAAGAAGTTTACGTGTCAAATCTAGTTATTTTAGAATTTATTACTACTTAGTTGTCAACATTATAAATTCCAGGAGCTTTGCCGTGCGGAGAAGGAGCCGTAGAAAGCCTTACAGGGAAGCGAGATGCGTACAATCGTGTTGAAACGATGAAATAGTGCCGTAACATATTCCCGCGCTACCCCCCACTGCCCTATTTTAGATGCCCAAAAATAAACATGGCGCATGTCATTGGTCTAAGAGCCAATTAGAATGAACCTTTTGTTGTTGCAATGTCTTACGACGCCTTCAAGCGACCAGGCATTACCTACATTGTAGAGGGCTACTAATAAAATATTGTCGCAGCCGAGGCAAGGCTGCAGAAGCAATGACTTCAGCTGAACTGAAGCAACAAGCCACTGTAACGGCAGCAAGAATGCACCGTCTCAACAAGAAAAGGCAATAGCTATACACCACACATAAATGAAGATGGTAGATAGCAGACACAATACATATCGATTTGATCGCACCCACGCCTGTAGCAAATATCAAGGAAAAGATAAGGCAACTTTTAGCATAGAGAATTTCTTCTGACGTGCGTAAATCATACAATTTCCATCCCTGCTTAGAGAGATACCCTTTGTGACGAGACATTATATCAAGACACTCGCTAACACAGCGAACTTAGCAATAGGCCATAAGGATAGGTTTTCTGGGCTTGGTGTTGTTGATTGATTGATTGATTGATTGATTGAGTCCTACTCGGTTTCAGCCGCGTTTTCTCCGCAGCTATGCCCGGCATGGCTGGCGTAGCCAACAGCCGACGCCGCGCAGTCGTTAATCCGCGCCGCCCCACGTCACTCCCTTATGGGAGCCAGCTGTTCCTAGAGGCCTGCCGTTTCCCCTCCACCACTATCTACAATCTGGCTGCAACCTTATCTAGATAATAGCTCTACCAACAGTATACTGTGCTTATAGGCTCGTAGAGGCGTACTGCCTCGTGTTTTGCGGCCGCGATACCTACAGTCTCCCCCCAGCGCTCGGCTGTCGTCTACGCGTCTTCGATCCCAACATGCCCAAGGATCTGCGCTTGTTCTATAAACTGGATGGCTTTAGTGGCTAGCTGTGGCCTGCTTAGGATGGCCCGGAGGTTGTGTCGTCCCTCGAGGTTGTCGAATACCTGGTTCCGGAGGTCCTTGAGCATCCTGCAGTGGAGCAAGATGTGGGCAACAGTCTGTCGTCTCTCCCCGCACTGGCAGCGGGAGCTGGTAACACCTGGCACTCTTTGGGTGAAGAGAAAGTCGCGCAGGCCTATCTTCTCAGTACGCAGCTGCACTAGCAGCGCACTCTGTCGTTTAGTGAGGCCCTCATGTGTCTGAAGTACTTTCTTAGTAGGCCACGGTGTGTGTCTGTAGGTTGCTCGACCTTTGGCCTCTGCGCGCCACTTGGCCGCCCATGCTCGCTCTGTTTGAGTCCTGCACCAGCGCCTGACGGTCGACCTGATTGGATAGAGCCTAGGCGGCGCTTCTGCTGGCGGGTGTCTGCGGCCGTCCTCTCTCCATCCCGTGGCCCCCTTGGCGGCCCTGTCGACAGCTTCGTTTCCTGGGATACCGGTGTGGGCTGGGATCCACCTTATTGTCACTGGCCGGTCCATGTCCTGGAGCGTCTTGACCTGTTCTGCAATGTCTGCAAGAATGTATGCTCCTGATCGACCTTCAGCCTTGGCCACTAACCAAATGGCTGCCTGGTTGTCTGTGTAGATGGCTACCTTCCGCCTCTCACCTCCTCGCTCAGCGTACTCTTGTGCTATTTGTAGTGCGAGGCTGATGCCTTGTAGCTCGGCGGCGTAGACTGTCGAGGTTGTGTCTGGCCCCATGTGCACTGTGCGGGTCTGCTGTGTGAGTGGGCATGTTGCTGCAGCACCAATCTCGCCATCTATGCCGCTGCCGTCGGTGTGGATGCTAAGGCTCTGATCCTTCTCGTGCTCTCTGTCGTGTCGACTACGTGCTTTGTCGGCGCTCTTGTCTATGTGGGTCTTTGGGCCGTGTCGCCAGGGCGGGGTGATAAAGGGCGGAATTGGTTCCTGGTGTTGTTGCGCCATCAGGCTCATCGTGATTAGTAAGCATGTCCTCTTGGCACTGTTTCTAAGTCAACCAAAGCGGCCAAAGCGTCTGTACTCCTAAACCACGAGCAGTCGTCGTGACAGCCCTTGTGCAACGCCGCGATGCCGTGCGACATACTGCTATGCCTTCGAAACAAAAACGCCGAGGACCCAAGCAGCAAACCACACCGCCCTCGAGTTTTGTAGAGCCACCGTTAACCCCGCCGCCAACCGACGAGAAGCCGTACGCGCAAGCCCCTCGAATTATCGCACTTTTCCACGAAATTCAAGCAGGAAAGCATAGCAATCGAGACCCGTGGACAGAGTTTTCGCTTCAACCCGGGGAGTACGATAAATTGCAGCGTCTCTTCAAACAAGAGGAGAGGCTGCTAGGGTTTGTGAAAGACAAGATACGGTGAGTATGCTCAAAACATGATAGGCATAGCGGTTGACAAGAGAGGTAAACAGGTATGATTACGACGTGGAAAAGCACCGGCTTGTCGTTCGCATGCCTACAGCCGTGCATGAATTGTTCATTGCCCGTGTTGAGGATGCTGTGCTCAGCCAACTGAAATCGATTCGTGAAGGATCTGATGACGCGGCGGCTTTCGCCCAGAAGGTTGATTCTGCTCGGTCTACCGAGCTACATTTTCCAGTTACAGATGATTCCTCCGGCAAGAAATCGAAATATGAGCCGGACGCATCTTTCTGGCACGATGACGCGGAATACCCTGGGGTTATCGTCGAAGTGGCATATTCACAGAAGAAAAAGAGACTGCGCCGGTTGGCCGAAAACTATCTCCTGGACTCAGATGCTAGTGTGCGAGTTGTTGTGGGTTTCAACATCGGATATGGCGTGAACGAGTCGCGTGAAGCGACCTTGTCGGTATGGCGGCCTCAATTTCTTCACACCAACGATGGCGTTGAACTACGAGTAGTTGAGGAAGTTGCGGATGAGGTATGTCTTGTTTCAGGTAAAAGCTGGTTTTCCTACCTAACGTCTCATTGCAGGCATTTCGTGACGAGCAAGGAAATTCTACTACTCACCCAGGCCTACGGCTTCAACTGTCCGACTTTGCATGCGAGGAACTTACAAAGGATGTGGTGGTTACGGAGGGAAGGAGGGAGATCATAGTGTCTACTCAAGAGCTTTGCAATTATCTCTCTGCAGCGGAAGGTAAGATGCGCCGGGAAACATCACTTGTTCGGCATTCCATTCCTGCGGGCGTTAAAAAGCGCAAACGATCAGAAACACCCACAGATGTGATGGTTCCTGGTGATGAAGCGAGATACGTTAAGGAAGAGGAGAGGGAGGCGAAGCGGGCAGCAGTGAACGACTTGGATTACGAACATGCATCAAGCGGCAGCTTTTCAGAATAGAAGACAGCATAATGATCGTTTCGTAATAACCGTTTCGAATAGCTGCATTTGAAATTAAATTCGGTAGTACTTATGTTGGTAAATCTATGGGATAAAGATGATTGTACGTGATTACACGCACCTAGAAGCTATGGAGGATGATCGGCAAAGCAACCACGTTGAAGAGGTAAGCGGACGATTTTGAGGAGTGTACACTTCTCTCCTGTGCATCCACTCTTGAACGCGTGAGTAAAACGAAATTGAGAGAAGGAGTACACATTGGGTGTACTGTGATGTCATGTATAGTTGTACGTTGATAACGTATGGGCAAGAAGGTTAGCCAGCTATCGCGTTCCTAGCGTCACGATAAGATGATGCAAAGGCACGTGCGTAGCGTTACCAAAAGTAAATGATCCCCGTACACAATATACGTCAGGGTTAGTTAGTGACCTTTCGCAAGCAATGGCCTCTAAGGTATATAAACTCTTTTGGGGCACAATAGTCTATTATCCAGCCTTTAACTTTGCAGAAGATGGAACGAACAACGCACAAGTAGGTCTAACAAGGAGGTATATGTTTAGAGCTAAGGTTCTCAAGTACCGATATACTCGATTTTAACCCTGCTTCTCCAAATATTCGGGCGCTTCAGACCTCATTACGCTCTATATTATCTGAAGATGAAAGATTTCAAGCATGCATAGCCATACGGAACGAAATGCTTTCGCAACGAAGACAAGCTGATTGGCTTTTTGTAAAACTCAACGAAGTTATGATTGAAGAGTGCTACCACTATAGGAAGAACGAGCAGCCGCAGCTAGATGTTCTCTTTGATGCAAAGCAATGGGAGCAATTTGTCAACACGGCACAATCTAAGATCAGGATGAGTAAGCAGTGTCTCGCTCCACTTGTTAAGACAGCCGAGTATTGGGGCATGAATAAGGTTCAATACTATGAGTGGGCTTCAATGGGAATCAAGTACTGTGATGTGCTTGCAACTGCTGCTTCCCGAAATCCTGTCTGGGAAGACGCCCGGGTCAAGCTCAACCAGCTGCTGTTGAGAAGGATTACAGAAGGGCGTTCTTTAAGAAAGACAGCGAACCCTATCTACTTGCTCGACTTGGAACACCTTATTGCTTGGACAGGAAAAACCGACTTTGAAAAGAAAGGCCGCCGAGTATACACGTTGAAGTATGAAACAATTACTGAGTCCGATCTGCCAGTTGGTTATGTACTTGACCGGTTTGGTGTCATTGCAGCTGCAGCATGTCAATCACCTCCATCAACATTCACCGCGACAGAGTTAGAAGCCTCATATCATCCGCACAAAGTCTCGGATATGTTCACGAGAAGTACAACAGCCGTCTTTAATAGCCATCTTTCTCAGCGATGTGCTCGTCACTGGAAATTGTTGCGACTGCTCCTCGTCCAGGGTTGTTGTATATTGACTATATTCTCTTTGCTTATGTGAACGAATATAGGTGATCAGGTATATTTCATATACATCGATTTGATTGGAAAGATATTATAAGATCTTCGAAAAACATCGAAGCCAGGAGGCGAAAGCGGGACTCAACTGATGCGTGTGTTGATAGTTTTGGTGGGTTAATTGCTATATTAGCTGACTTGTACTATCCGAATACTATGTAATATAGAGACAAGAAGTCCTAGTGCGACATCTGCGCAAGCCTGCTAGAACTCCAAGCCTAACACTCGATGTTGTGAATAGCATACTCTTTGTCTCCCTCTACGACGCCGCACGCGTTGCCCCAGCCAATCTCAAAGTCATCACTCTTTGGATTCTTCAGCTTAGCGTTAGGTGCACATCTTGCATCTACAGAATAGTAGCTAGTTTCCATCCTGGGTGCGGTGTTCCAATCGCAAGCATCGGAAGCCGGTTTTCCTGACCTGCGGCGGGGCTCCTCAGGCGATGGTAAGACATTGGGTTTGTAAATATGATAGTTATGCCTGGAATGCTTCCCACTGTGACGATGTTTGATGTATCTCCACCTTAGTGATTTGCTAGGAGCATCTAGTGGTGCAGTATAATATGTATTAGGATCAGTTTTAGCACTTGTGTAAGTGCGCGTGGTGATACTGCTATAGCTCGAGCCAATCTGAACGGCTGCACAGTTCATGAAGAATTCGTGCTCACGGTTCAGCCAAACCCAAGCAAATACTGCTATACCAGTTGGTATGTTTAAAGGGACTTTGAACTCAAAGACTTGCGGCGTGTCTTTATCCCTATGAGGGCAGTTCCCATGGTATGAAGCTGCGACTTTCCATGTCTGACCTTTGTCCACGGAGAAGCCGACTTGGCAGCTTCCACCATAGTGAGTTGATCCTGGAACACCGATACTATACATGTGGTCGGATAACTTGAAGTAAGCGTCCTGGCCAGGTTCCCATGTGACTTGCGGTGTGCCTTCTTCGGTATCTAGAAGGTCAAGATGACCACGACAATCGCCAGGAGAAGGCAGTGTTGGCTCGCCCTGAGAATCGCAGCATCCAATTGGAAAGTTGAATTCCTTATCCACCTGTGTTGTGAAAGAATTCGCTTCTTTACTACCACCGAGAGGGGGCGGATACCATAACGACATATGGGCTCGAGCTGTAGTCGCTAAGAATACTAGGAGGGTTCGCGCTACGTACATCGGATAGTAGGTATACAGTGAACAATTTATAGAGCTTCTGGAGGTCTCCTGATCAAACAAGATGACGCTGCTAGGTCTATATAGATGTACGCTAGCAATGATTTGATTTGGATATCATTTAGTGAGTATAACAACAAACTACGTGACTTGTATACGGACTCAATTATTATTTGTGACTTATTGCCTATACTCTGGGATTGCACCTTCATAGAACACAACCATACCGAATAGTGCGCCATGATATTACTATAGGTATATGTGTGAGAGTGGAACTGCATTAGGAAATGCAGGCTTCCGAAGCGGGAAATGGATGCTTGCTTGGCCACTCGCTGCTTTTATTTGGCCTGTGCGCTGACCCCATCACATATAATCACGCTTCCCTCGCCGTCCTACTCACCTCCCACTATCGTCCCTTTCCTCCCTCCACTTCACTTCCTCCTATTGGTCGCTCGGACTGAATCTGTGAGGCATTTTCGTACCCTTGGAAATCATGCGATCGCTGCACTGCCTGACTATGTTATCCACTTTACCCCCTCCTTCAGGATCCACGGTTAAGCCTCTACGCTATATCCTTTGTCAGACCGTCTCGACACGTTTTTCTCGAACACACTACTAGCAGCTCTGTTTCTACTTGGAATTTCACCATTCCAACTCTCTCGCCTATCTCATGGTGGGAAGTCTTTGCGCCAAAGCTTTCATGAACAGTTTGCAATCGTTCCTTAACTTTCGCCCTCTCGGAAGTGAACGTCCCTCCCATTCTGCTCATCCTCGATCTGCCACGTCATACATCACACGGATCAGCAACAAAGGGGCTTCGGATGCCCCGATCACGCCTCAACACGAAGCACTAAGCCGGTATAACTGCAGCTACAGACCTAGCGAGGTTACGTTGGCAGGTAGCCTTAGAGAAATGATTGGTTTTGAACTGTCCAAGTGTCACTGCAAGCCCAGTTTCACCAAAAAGTCACGCCAGAAAAGCCGCAGCTAGAGTCCAACCCGCTACTCAGCCATGCAGGTAGCGGTCATGATGTACTTTCCGAGACTGCGCCGTAACACAGATTGGTAGAATCTGGGTCCATGTGACTGCCTGCATGATGGCAGTGCCCTATTCCAGCGTTACATATCAGGGGTAGTGAAGACTAGAGCGGGCGTTCAGCACAGCTTGGGCGCCAACCTCTCTGCACTGTGTGGCCCAAGCCGCCCAAAGCCTGACGTCTAGAGTCTAAACACGAATCTGAGCCCGTATCTGGGTTTCGGAGTGGCCGACGAGCTAAAATACACGTCTTGGAATCTCCCTGTTCAGCAGACGGGCTCTGGCGAAAAAGAGGCGGGACCTATACCACAGCCTGAAGCCTAGGAATGCATTGTACTTCTTCATTTCTAGTACGAGTATTAGTGAGAGATTTAGACACGTTTCTATCTAAGAAGAAAGGGGCTTCATGCGAAAACTCTATCGCCGCCGATATCTCGCATCCGTATGATATGTTTGGGTACACGACGCGAAGCTGGTTCGACTCTAGTCTAATATGCCGCTGGCAAGGGTGCGAAGTTTCGAGCACGGTCTCATAAGGACTGCTGCCTGATGGGCGCTAAATGTTATTCCAGATGGCTCTCCGAGAGGATTCACATTACAGGAGAGACCTCAGGAGTGGCATCTTGCCTATTTAAACCTCTGCGTCTCCTCTCTCCTCGCAGCACCAGCACGTCCTCGAGCCGCAACAGCAGCCATGGCAATGTTCTTTGACACTTTTTCCATACCTCACGCACAAGACTCTCTTCAAATAATACAGTACAGTGGGCCTCCAAAGCCTAAGCAAACCTCTCGTCGGAACCCTTCAAAGACCTTGTCAAGCAAAGACAGTACAAGATCGAACACTAAACTGGAGAATAAGGAGGATCCTGTACCAACGTCGGACGAAGTCGAAGTCATTGATTTGACATACTTAGGTGGGCATCCCTACAGCCAGCGTAGCCGTACTATGCTCATTCCAGCGTTCTATGATGACTAACACAAACATAGTTGGAGAAGGTGACAGCGACATAAGCGGTAGCAGAGGTGGAGGAGATGGTGATATCAACAGTTGCGACGATTTTGCGCCCCAGTACGAAAGTGAAGGCGAAGAATTTGAGCGGAACGTTCGAGAAGGCGCAAACGACGAGAGCTCAAATAACCCAGCTCCTTCTGAAAACGTTAGTCAAGGTAAGTGCTGGGGTGCGATTGTGATAGTGGCTCTTGCACACCATTTCTGACATTGCGTAGAAAATACGGTCGTTGTCGAAGACAATCAGCCTAGCGTAGATACAGACGGGGGCGACTCGCACGAAAATGATGCGGGTACGCAGATAAACAATCGGCTTGAAGTTTCGAGCATCACAGCTCTGAATCTTCGCAGTGGGAAGTATCCTATAGACACGGAAAATGACATCGACTACGATGCATTTGGAAAAGCAAAGACTCGAATGAGTGGATTCCCATGTCACAAATTTCCATCAATTCCGCCAATAAGCTTGTCGAAGATGAATATCGAACAATCAACGCGAGGCAGCCCTCCTTCGATCGAAAACACGAGCAGTAGCAGCAGGAGCAGTAGCAGCAGCAGCAGCAGCAGCGGCAGCAGCAGCAGCGATACCGATACCGATCACAATGATTGCGATAATCAGATAGCGTGGCTGACCCGCAAGCGGAAACGCTTCCCGCCAACCAAGCAGCACATTCGATTATCAAACATGACATCGAAGCAGCGCCTTAAGCACAATGTGGGCCCATCGAAGCAGCAAATGCCATCCCCATCTAGCAGCAGCCAGTTCTCCAACTGTCCTTTGGCTCTGAAACCTCCTTCAGAACCACCGCACAGCGTATACGATGCTAAAATCTGCCACAGCGATGACAGCAGCGATGATAGCAGTGAATATCACTCGCGCAAGTATAAGCGGAAGCGCTATCAGGACACTTTGAACGACGATGACGACGAATATGAGGTAGAGAAGATTCTCGATGCCCGTGTCTATCGCAGGAAGCTACAGTACCGTGTGAAATGGCTAGAATATGAGGAGGATCTGGAGTGGTATGATGCGTCTAACTTCAAGAATAGCCCGCACAGACTTCGGGATTTTCATGCGGCTAACCCTTTACACCCAGGCCCTCCAAGAAGGTTGGAGATCTGGGTACAGTGCTGGGAGATGGACAGAGATGCGAGCAATCATCCTGACGATAACAAGCCTGAAGAACTGACGAACTAGATGGGATACCATTGGCAGACTGGCGTTTAAGACTTAGAATCGTTCTAGTTCCTTATTTTTCCTTAATACTACGTTGGCGCAATGTTGAGTTTTCCTCCCTTACTATCACTAATCGTAGGTTGCTTATGTCAACTTAAAATTCTAAGTTCATTTGAGGAAGGGTGATATGAGACTACAATACATGCTAAACCTATCCACCAGACCATCGTTGTAGAAGCGTGCCCCTTTCGGCCTAAACAGCACGACTGACTATACGAACCTTGCATAGCCCCTGGGTGCACGCCATCAACATCAACCCTGGCTTCTCAATAATTTTCGAACCCGACCTACACTGTCCATTCCGGAACACTGTGCAGGACTAAGAATGAAGAATTTGACTCTCAGAAGAAGATAACCTTTTCGCCGACTTTATCATCCTCGATACTTGATTTGTATAGCACTCCAATTCGCCTTGATCGAAAATATATCGATTTGGCGCGCTTGGTGTTGGCTGGTTCTGGAAGACACAATGCTGAGGTGCACGAGCGAATTATCGTTAGAGATAGGTTGAAGTGCTTCAACAGATGATCCTGACTTCTGATGTTACGTCCTGTATCTGCGCGCAAATGATCTACAGTAGTTACATTAAATTAATCTTGCCTGTTTACGCTCTGCAAAACTTGGTGCTGAATCTATTGTAAATTTTCAAACAGATCTCATGGGGCTGTGCAAGTACGCTGGTACACGAAGCTGCGTGAGAAAGCTTAACATTAACTTACTAACTACTTATTCAAGGATCCAGTGGTATGCGAACTAAGGAAAGTCTGTACTTCTTCGGCATTAGATCCCACATCACACGACTCAGAGGGTCTTCCCTTCTACTCCCACCTCTCTCTCTCTGTTTTTCATTTTCGGGGTGTGATTCTGACAAGAGTTCCTCGGGCCATGATGAGTATATCATTGTGGCAATCTATCGTATGCCAGGTTCCGCATTGCAATGCCTCTATGTCTGCGACAGCGGCCGCCTTATGTTCTAGTATCTCCCTTGCCTTTTGCACCGAAAGCCATTCGATGCTATAGGCAATCTCTGAATCACTTCTATTTGCACCTGGTGGTGTCATTTCTGCGATGTACTCGATGTGAATCTCAAGCTCATCTGCAGTGTGAAATTGCGTTTCGCTCGCGACAACGCTACTGGCCTGTGACAAACCCTGAATCAATTCTTCAGTTCCACATGTTATAACCTTATGCAGAGTTGTTCGATGACTGCATTGGGCGGATAGTTGCGTCGCAACTTGGTCTGACAAGCTCATTTGGGAAGTCCATCATCTTCTGCGGTGATAATACTTCTCGAACTAAGTGCGGAAGGAACAGCTTTGATGCACTCTGCGAGGGAGACTGATGATTGGTCTTTGGGTAATATCGTGTGTTCCCGGAGTCTGGCTGTGCCGTTGACTAAGGAGCTTTTCGCAGATGTTTTCTCCCATTCGATTACCTCTGCCACAGCTGGTGTGCGCAACGTTGATGTAGATAGAGGCAGTGTAAGCAATGTACTCTCGTTTGGATCTGGGTACATGGTCTTCTTCTGTCTTGATAGCAGTGTCTTTAGGCTATCTTTAATCTGATCTTCTAATGCCGAATTGAGTCGTATATCCAAATCGTTAAGATCAGACATCAGTGGCAATCTCCATCCAGGATACAATCGCCCATGGTATCGAGGTGTGTGCATTTTCCCATGCATCAGAATGAAAGCATTACACAGAAAGCATGCATCCTTGCTGGAACAAACGACACGTGGCGGTAACCTCGAAAAGTTCAGCTCATAATGGAAGACAAGCTGAATTTCTGCATGTATCTTGGCCTCCCGCATCGTTTTCCTTGTTTGATCAGCAAACTGATCATTCAGCTGTGGACCACTCGTGTTCAGGAGACGACAGAGGTGGCGGACGACTGGCCCTTGGCAATTCGTGTTCATTCTTGAGATCGTCGACGTGAGCTGTGGAGTATAGTTTTCGTCCGAAATTCGATCGAAAGCCTCTTTGGGCAGACTGGCGATAACCACTTTCGCTCGCCGCAGCAAGGGAATCTTTTTGGCTGTACGATACAAAAATCGTGCAGCTTCTCGATATCTCGACACTTTCTTAATAATGTTGAACAGGTTTTGCCTTGAACTTGGGCCCATTGCACGATTTGGTATCGAGCCTAGCAGGGCTTGAACATCTCCAGTCTGCTTCAACTGGTAGATGCCTTCCACCAGATTTCCTAACTCCGCCGACTTCTGATGCTTAGCCCATGCGTCAGCTAGTCTAATGACATCTTTGGCTCTTTCTATGAATAAGCTAAAGGGTAGGCTGCTCAGAGTTTGATGATTGACTTGCTTGAGGGAATTGATAGCTTCGCCTAAAACAACCCTGAGGGGCTGTCTAGGAGTACCCCGTGTTTTAGCCATGAATCTTAGACGACTTAGAACGCGATGGGAATATATGGAAATGATTGCATTGAAGATTTGGTGTTCTATAGCTCGGTTGTTGTCTCTCTCTTATAACAGTTATCATCGACAAGAATAGAGGAGCTTACATTACATACCTTGTGAGATCTCCGACAGAATTGTGAAGATCTTCTCGAGATTCTGCTCTATATTTTGGAGGGCCTCGTTACCATCTGCCTCATTTTTCTTGTTCACAGCCACTACAACATCTAGCGACATCAACTTAGGGTTCTCCTCAACGCAGAGGGCTGGTATATGGTTGGGGTCATCTTCGGTATAAGAGAGGAAGGCTAATGTGCTAGCTAAGTCTCGCTCCTGGACAAATGACGATGAATAGCCCCCTTGGCGAGATGGAGGCTTCTTGATCTCATTGCAGGAAGGTGGGACTGGGACCGAATGGAGGAGATAGAGTAGGGCGATATTCTCAGCGCAAATCACTGCGGGCGGTGGAGAGTAGGTGAGCATGTTTGGTGAGACGCGATCTAACCACCACATGTTGTAAATGTGACAGTACGCTGAGCTAGTTGAAATAACATTCACGTCGCCCGGGGTCACGACCTGCATACCTTGTGCACTTCCTCGATCGGTAAGGACAACGCGCTTCCGCACTACATCAGACCTGCTACAGGCTATGGCCTAATGTCGATTGGAACTGGGGTAGGCGGGGTGGGCGGGGTAAGCGGGGTAGAGCGACAAACAGGCTATGACGCCGACCCTGCTTCTCAGCTTCGCGACGTATCTTCGCGACATACTTTGGGTCCTCAATGGCGACTAGATCAGCAAAAGGAGTACCGTTTATAGGAAAACTGTTCAATTCAGGATGCTAGAAGTATTCCACGTCGACTGCCAGAGTCATTCGCTTCCCGATCGTGGTTGACTTGCGAGGTTGGAAAGGTATTCTCACCACATTACCGACAAAGTGGTAGACGGAATTACATAGCTATACTAGCAGTCATTGGTTATTTCTACTGGATTACATGGTACATACTGATCGATAGGTCTCCTTATCCTTCTAACTCCTTCAGGTCATCCCGTGCTGCCCTTAGGATCTCCTTCATATCCAAGTACAGCCTCGGATTCGGTACCCTCCACCTTCCGCCTCCAGGGAATATCTTTCTCCGTAATCTGTCAATGCAAGGTACAAGTGGCTGGTAATAGTCTATGAAGTGTTCGAGGATAGTTTTACGAAAAATCTCATCATCTTATACTGTGCCTAGCTTTAGCTTGGCTAGCTCCTCCGTGTTTGCATAATTCTATTTGTCAAACTGTTGGACTACTCTTGCCTGCGACCCGTTGTAGTGAAGGCATTTCCAAAATAGCGCCTAGAAGAAGGATTTTAATTCGTGCATGAAAGAATGCTGCTCATCGTCGTAAAGTATCCCAATCGCCATGAACGCTAGCGTGCCGGTCTTCCCTCGAGCAGTACAGCCACTCCTCAATTTTTGTAATATTTTTAGAGTCACTCATGGAGGTTGCTTCCTCTATGCGTTCTTGCTCTTCGTCTGAATCATATGTCATGAACCATTCGTGCTCGAATATCGCCTTTTCGTATGGTGGGTACCCATCAGAACGCAACCAGCTGAAGATGTTACGCGTGGCATTCTCTGAAATGGCCTCTTGTTCACAGTTTAAACCTTTCCACACAATAGGGACTGTGTATTGACCTTCTTGTATACTAGGCTGACCAAAAATTTTGTATGGACATTGTTGTATTGATAGGAGTTTTATTTCCCCTTCTGTGCAGTCCCAAACAAACCCTTGATATTGGAGTCCATGGCCTTCACAATGCTCGTGGACCTTTACTTCGAGATCGACGTCGTCCTTAGGAGTTTTTCCAAAAGGTTTCCATTGGCAGATCGGGGTTCGAGTGTGATTTCTGGACTGGCACAGGAAAAGTAAACGACATTCGTCCGCACGCTGTATGTATCCGTCAACTGCAAGTGGCCTAGACACAGGTTGCTGTATGAATGATTGGATTGTCCCAGTCCACGCAGCGGAGTCAAGGTCGATCGGTATCTGTCCATATTTTATATCTTGTAGGAGTTTTTGTTGAATGCCTAGGATGGCACTGCCTAGCCAGATGCACGCTACCTCGGGTCTTCTCTCCATGCACATGCGCCCAAAAATCGACAGCTTTTCTCCAACCAGTGATTCGATAGCAGCGACTGTTCCTTGCAACCAGGGTGTTACAGCGTTGCATTCTATGTTGGCTTCGTAAAAGACACTGAGGAGTAGAGGACGTAAGCCATTGATGTTGCAACTTAACGTGATCAGTCTATCGAGGTGTTGCCCTTCAGGTATTGCCTGGGTCAGTGAGCAATCTTTGTGAATATGGGCCGGGCCCTCGCTCGATTCTTTTCGTGCATTGAAATTAGGAGACCGCAATCGCAGTGTTCCACCAGCCATATACGGGAGTAGGAGTACGGCAGCCAAAGCGGCATGGCTTTGATCGACGATGTCGTGACGTGTACAAAACCTATTCAGAAAGCCAAAGGCTTCTGAGAATGTTGCGGCAGACTCTTGACAATTTGATATATCTAGCTCTGGGTCCAGTAGGAATTGGGAGTTCGACTCGACACGAATCGACCACGGTGACGAAAGGGAGGATCGAATACTGGCTTGCCAGCCCTGGCCTTTTGCCAAAACAGCAGTCCACCATCGGGATTCTTTTGAGCTTGCGGGTCCGATATCTACAACAGCGGAATGTTGGGCGTTATCGGACTTTGTTGTTGCGTCGTAATGCTTTGCTAGGTTGTCGGTATAGGTGAGAGAGCAAGCTGGAGACATGATTTCTACCCAACGAGCTGATAAGACATATGCCCACGCTAACACGAGGATTGCTAGATAATCGTTCTGAGAACGAAACCATGACGTGGAATAAGTATCAGTCGGAGCCGAATCAGATATCGAAAGTAGAACTGGGTCCTTCACCGCGACCTCTAACTGTACTCGACGCCGAAAAGAAGGAATGGAGCTGGCGCATGTTGCAGGTGAAGATGCCCAAGTAGAGAAACCAGAAGCGCTTAATCCATTAGGGTGCTCTTCGAGCTTAAGATTTTGTGGGAAGGCTGGTAAGAGAGGAAATGTATTCTTCGTGAAAAAGCAGCGAGTAGGAAGCTTCGTATTTTTAACAACGAGAGAATGTAGTTGAGCCCAGGTTTCGAAGCCAGCCGCATAGATATTCCGGAATCGTTCTTCACTTATCTGGATTTCATCAATCTCCATTGTGGACGAGAAATGAAAAAGCATCAGAAAACATTAGGGAAGAAGCCCGCTTGTATATCGCAAGGTCTGTGCGTACTAGTAGCCTTGGATTGATATGGGAGCCCCACAAAACAACAGGCACCTTGCCTAATCAAGTCCGCCCCTCCTAACGCTCATACCCCACAACATTTGTCTTTCACCCCAAACGCGTGATCCCCTTTGCATCGATCATGGAGCACTCGTATGGATGGTCGATACACCACTTGCAAAGCGCATATTCATTCCTCAAGCCTTGATGACCGCCTGCTTGGCAAACCTTAAATTTCTTTCGACAGCCATAGGCTTCGCATGTGTAGTAGTTGTGCTCGTTGTTGGCATGCTCGCACACGCTGCATACCCCTGTCGCTCCAGAGCTAGCTGACATTTGTCTGACGTGTCTTCAGATTGCGTCTATGTCTATTAAGCTAGTACATTATTAAACAAGAACTATATACGCATACAATCAAGGTTATAGACACAAGGTACTTTTGCATTGGAGCATTTGTAGCTGGAGGTAGGTATGTGGCAGTAACTCATGTGTGATCGAAGACGGGAATCGCTGGATATTCCGTATTGGAGTGCCCGAAACCTTATCAATAAATACCGAAAAGCCTTGTTCGACGCAATGCGCGAGGCATTTCTCTCTGTACAAATGATGATTGATACTGTGCCTAGTTTATCTTGATGTAAGCATGCTGTGCTACATGCCTTGGCAAAACGTGTTGTTTCGCGATACCGCCACGGCGCATGATCATCCGCCGGAGTAAGAAAGGATTGGTCAACATGCGACGTATGACCCACCACAATATCGCGTTTCGCGGTTCCGCGGAGCTTGACGGGACAGAAAGGGATAAAGGCTGTTAGCCTAGCTTGTAGGCTTATGGATCTCATTGGTTCAATCCATATTGCAAATTCCAAGTTTGTTACCTTGGCGCTGCAAGTTTTATGATTGCAATTCGTAAATCGTTTGTTTCCGCAAATGGGTTCATTCAATTGCATTTCCTATTCGCATTGTCATCCTAAAATTGCAATTTGTGCTCACAGATCAGCAGATATTCAGCAATAAACAATCGATATTACCCCATTTCAACTCACGCCGCCATCCCCACTTGTTCGCCACAATGCAAATCGACCATCTCTATACGAACCTCGACCTTCTTGGACAGCAAGTGCGGACCACCAAGATTCACTCAAAGGATTTACAAAAACTGAAAGAGAAAACTGCACAGTTAACGCATGAGCTCGAAGTACTTCATGTGCTCGCAAAAACTGCGGAGTTGTTGCAGAGTGCTGACCCTAATGAAAACGGTAACGCGAAGCGCTTTGCGCCTCTCAAAAGCAGGATACAAAAGATGACAAGAGCGATATACAACTCAGGAACAGAACCGGTTTCGGAGCGACTCAGAAGCTTGTCTCATATCCATATAGAGACGTTTCTGTTTCTTGCAGCATCTTATACTCCCCTCGGCATCATGAGACTGGATCAGAACACATTTGATTGTCTTATGGAAATCGCCCCTTTGTATGCGCAGAGTTGGCTGCCACCTGGATGGATCCACCGTACTGAATTTCAGATTGCTGTGACAGCTGGTGCAGGCAAAGGAAGCGAATTCAAACGAAGTATATCCCATTACACCATGCATTGACAAGTTGACTCATCGTTAATACAGAGTACCAAGAGCTAGAGTATGGCGAGGCCCCGAAGCGCCTTCGCACAGAAATGTTGGAGTGGCCGATCCATGAGGCTGGCATTAATTCAAAAGCTTGTAACGACGCTCCGCACCTTGATAGCAGCAACGTCATTCCTTCAGGACAGGTAGAGAGCGGCCTTAGGACGTCAGCAGGTAAGCATATGATATTTGTACGGATGGTTGTTTTGTTAAGCATACATCAGGTACGAAAACAAACGTAAGTCGGAGTCTTGGGATAGAAACTGCATTCGAGGTACCTCGTGAAGTATTCGAAGTAATTTGGGAAAACCACACTCTGGGTGAAATCATCATGACGATCCCAACGGAAGATCGTGTCAGCTCGATCTTGCATACAATACCACGCGAAGACGCAATCGAGATGGGAGAGCGATATAACCTGCGCAAACTTCCCCTACCTACGTCGGTGTGATTATCTTTGCGTCCACCACCATAGCTTCGAATTGACACCCTGCGGGTACTAGCCCTATATAATGCCTGTCTTTGCTTACAACATCCCATAATGTTCTCTTTGTGTTGTCCTTATCTCGAACCCGTATGCATCCGATCAGAGGGGATGTTTTCGGTGGCTTGAACACGATGAGACGATCTTCAGAATGTTTTGGTACGATTTTTGTGTAATAGTCAATCCATGGTGTGATTTCGAAGGAAGACTTATCACCTCCCAACTGTTACTCGCACTATCAGCTTCATGTATGTTCGATCAGTGTAGATGGGGCAACACACTCGCTCTTCGGCTATTGCTTTTAGTTTTGCATCATCCTCCGCGAGGTCCAAGGAGATCTCCTCACAAAACGTGACCATCGTAAGCTGTGAAGTTATCCGTAATAACGACAAGATGAGCTTCTTGTTGTTAATAGTTTCGTTAAAGGTGCTCGATGCGCCGACGAGATTGAGGAATTGTCTGCCTGGGTGTCAGCTTGAAGGGAAGTTGCCAGAGTGACTTGATAATGATTACATGAACGCGGTGAGTGGCTTTTTGACAGATGATAAGTGAAGTGACTCGGGATGGAGCTGGGCAGAGCACGTACTCACAGTGCGATGTCCACTGGGTGTCGTGGTCGTTTTGGAGCCCGATTTCAGCCCAGTACCACGCTACCCACATTTCGCCGTCGACTCGCCTGCCCCACCATTAGCGCGGGGTCTTATCACGTGAGCGTAAAGTCCATGTTTCCCTCTTTGTTGGCCAACATTTCAGGGTAGACACAAGTTGAACGCTCTCTTACTCATCGAAATGAACCAAAATTGGATTTAATGTCGTATGTGCTTTAATGTTAAGACTTGAGTATTCAGTGGAATGTGAATGCCCAGCTGACCTCTAAGGCCTCATGGACATGTAACCTCTGTACCTCAAAAACCAACATCCACTAGGGAAAAGCTATGTTTTGCCAGCAGTTCCTTTCTTCACTTAATGAATATGTAGAGACTTAGTTGTAAAGTCGGTATGTGGAGCTTTGGGCTGTGTCCTTAACATTTACTGCGCAAAAAATTGCACGTGAGCTATGGCGAAATCTTTGTAATAGCAGGTAATACACGCTTGCAAAGTATATTCTTTGTTCGCTACAAGCTCTATAGAAATTGGTTGCTGGGCTCTATCGGAGTATCTGTTCTCGATATTCCATCACAAAGGTTTCTACAACTGCATTTTGCCATTCCAAAACTCAAATACACTAGCTTCCGCGCTTGCAATTTGCAGCCTCGATTTCACCATGAATATACCTCTGCAGTGAGAATACCTAACCTTACTATCGTTTGCCCGCAACTAAAACTCATTCTTTTACTCTTTTAATGCAGAGCACGGTGAACATCGCATTAGCTACATGGATCCCTCAGCTCTTGCAGATATGTATACAGGTATTGTTGTGGCGGGTCAAAGCGTGGGTCTCGGTGTATTACATGGTGCTTTCACAGACTGACTGATCCGTAACAGCATAGGACGCGTAGTTGTAGATCAAACACCGACAGGATCGTAGATGTTGGTATAAAGTACTGCAGTTGATCTCGGTTTTCTCAATATGTGAGAACCATCATCCCTCACCTTGCTTAGCGCATTTCCTTTGCTCAGCCTGTTTCTCCTTATTATCTTCAATACCTTCGGCGTCCCTGCTTTGTAGTCTCTTTTCGCGGTACTACAACGTGTGCTGATATCCTTCACGTGTCGTGTTTTTGCGACATTCATTGTAGGTACGCGTTCTCTAAACGTATTCCTGATTGCAGTGGGGTTGTTAGTACGCATGTTTCTATTTGTGATAGCTCAAGTGAGAGAGAGCAACTGCATCCTTTTGAGTACACGGCTAAGTTTTGACAGTCCTTTAGGATTAAACCATCATGTCTACACCATCAAATAACACGAATTTCGCTAATCAGCAAGGCCACCAAAACGTTGCACCAACTAATGGCACGCGCAACGACCAAGCTGCAACAAACGGCAGCACGCATAACCCCCAATCAAACCCGACAGATATCAATAGTGTTCTGCGTGACGCTACTGCAGAAGAAAAACGTACATTGGGGTTGGATAACTTCAACAGCCGTTGAGACCAAAGAGAAAATATCCAATTTTTGGCAGCAGGTGTAACGAAGAAAAAGGCGTTGGCTTATGTAAGCGACATGGAAAGAAATTGCCGATAGCAGCCTAGCGAGAAATGCCTACTTGGCTCCTCATGTGATATGAATAGCGTGATGCATCCGTTTCTTAAGCCCCACCTGTCAATAACATTTGACCTACAATCTCACTCCTCTCTCGATCTTTATTTTACAGAATCACTTCATGAATTACACTCCTAGTCTACAATCAAATGCCTACACACATCGTTCTCGATTCGACGCCCCGGTTAGATGAGATTGCCGCTTCATTAGTCCTACTTGGCAAAAGGCGTGTGCCGGTACCTGAAACGAGTACGATTTTGTTCACACACGATTTTCCACGAGACGAATGTGCGGAGATGATCAAAGAGATCTATACCAGAGTACGTGCCTGATAGACTGAGAATCTTACAAATTCTGATACATGTTACAAGAAAACTGAAATCCAAGCTGCTGTCGGATGGGCAACCGTGCAAACTCCTGTCAAGTTGCCTGAATTTCTCCTCTGTACATCTGGCACACTTCGTATGAAGGCTAATCACGTGGGCATTCTTAAAGCAATAGGAGATCCCTCGACGTTCAAGGAGGCGAAATTGATATCCTGGGCAAGAGACGTAGAAGGCTCTCGAACTGTAACGAAGTTCATGTCAGGAATGCATCTGATAATGCCAGATGTCTGCTTCGAGCCAGACCCGGTAGAGTTCCAGCTGCTTGTGTTCCCTCTGTCACCGCCGCAGGTTGCTGAGCTTGCCTGAGGGTGTCGAAATCGCTACCACTGCCCAAGCAATCGAACGACGTATTGCATTCCATTCGACGGATCTATGTTTCCAAATTCTTGTAACCATTCTTCTATGTCTGTAGAACAATCGGAATCGTTCAAACTAGTACTTCCTTGCTGGAATTCTGTTGGTGGTGACATAGATTTTAAAGCAACAGCTGCTTTGGTTATTTCAAGACCTGGATGGGTTTCGTCTTGTTTGCAGCGTTTGATGGATCTCTCTATGTTTTTTTCATATGTATGCGCCTCCATAGATTGATTGACATAGATTGGATCAATAATCTGAGAATCGTCTATCGGTACAGCGACATCTGCTGGACTAATCTCGACAAGTTGATGATAGGTTACTTGATGCATACTGGGTGTGAGACTGGAAAAGGTACCCATCTGTCTGTCGGTATCTGTATGTTCTTGTGTCGGCGGTGATTTTGACGGATTGTCATGGATGGAGTTATCGCCCACGTCACTATAGTCCCCGTCTCCACGGTGTTCTTTTGGGACTATCTTGCCATGACGGAGGAAGATTCCAGTGTTGACGTATTTGTGAATCATCCTTATCAATCTTGTACGGCCTCCCGCAATATCGGCATTGTCCACACCTTGAGCTTGAAGACCGCAAATAAGATCTTGTACGATCCCAAAGTCGAGGATCCTCGATTGCTGTTCTAGATCTGGAGTGATATTCTTTCGATACTCGAACAGCATTCTAAAATCTTCGTCATTACATTTTTCCATACTATACGATGTTAGCGTGCACCGAGAACTACCTGTAGTTGTACTCACTCAGACTTGGCGCCATCAATAGAAAACAAAGAACCCGGACCTCCTGCCTCCATGCAAGTAAGGTATTTGCAGCCTATTGTGTACATGCTAGCTACACTTGGCCGCTCGACATTGAGGTCCTTGGCAAGCTTGTCAAGAGCGAGCGATTTCATGCTTCGTCCCACAGAAGAACCTGAAAGCGATATTTCACACCGATCCACTGCATCAGCGAAGTAGAGATAGTAGATGCGATGCGATATGGCAACGTTTTCTCGCGAAGGACCTGCTAGTTCCTGGTACATTCTTTTTGCTGTCTCAAAAGAATCTTTCGGGGTAGGAGATCGAAATGGCTCGATTCCACTATAGTCTCTATGTGCTTCGATTTTAGCAATACGTTCAGCGACCCTACAGAGTCTGTCTTTGCGCTTTTGGGATATTTTGAGAGCTTCGAAATACAGCTTCGAGGGTTTTGAAGATCTTCGCAGTTTGGTACCATCGCTTAAACGCACGTCGGCAACCTTACGAGGCTTGGTGGCTTTCTCTGATAAGCGAGCATGACATGGCGAGTGTGATTGTGACGTAGCTCCAATGGAGGCTTGGCACGGGGTCAGGGGATCCTGAACGCATGTAAATTTGCTCTGAGGCCTGAAGCTTTCTGGTAAAAGCTCACAACACTCGAGACGAGTTCCTCGTTGGAAGAACCGACGAAAAGAGGAAAGCAAGTTCTGGTTCTGAATAAGCTAACTGGCAGCACTTCTTCGCAAGCTTCCTACTTACTGAGTCTTTGATGATATCAGACGGTGTGTACAACTCCAGGAGGTTCATCAAGTCTGTTCTACAGAGCGCCATCTCCGGTAGAGCACTCAGAGTCGCTGGTGTAATGGCAAAAAAGGATACCAGAGGAGTTTGGGTTTCAATAGGGGATTCTTCCCTTGAAACCTAAATTACTTTTGGACCTGGTGGGTCTAGTACCTCACATCCGGCAAGGATAATTATCTCGTAGATCGTATCCACCCCAAGCGAGCTGCACTACTGCCGGTTTAGTCGCTGTACGCGCCCCATCTACAAAGCCTTAGTCAATGCAGCCAATTGCTTGATTGGGCATCTGCTCGTGAAACGATCAGGGGCTGTCCAACAGGGTTCCCTGTGCTGTCTGAACGCTACAAGAATTGCTTTTATACAGTAGACGCCTTAGATCAACCGTGATAGACCCCACTTCCGCTAACTTGTCGTGCCAATCCCGGGATGCAGTTAAGCCCTTGCTAGACTAGCAGAATTCTGCCGTGAATGTTGCGTATCCACACCCTTCTCCATCAGCTCTGTCACGAACGACCCAGGTTGAAACCAGTCCTCTGGAAGGGCCTTTCCGCGTGTGAATTAACTGCCGAAAGTATGCCGACGATCTAGTGGCTGAAGTACGCATATATCATATACCCTTCCTGCGAGGCTGAGAAGTCCTTCATCCGTTGTCTTACCGCCCTTGCATTCTGACCGGTTGCCTTCCTGCAGCAAGAGTGCAAACCACGCCTTATTACTAATCTGATTTGTTGTCAGAATGGTTGAAGCTTCTGCAGGCGTGTCCCAGGTACGTAGCTTATCATTATTCTTAGTCTAAACTTCAAAAAATAGGAAAGGAACTAACTTTCTAGCCTAAGATCTCGTACCAACAGCCATCCATAAAGGGCCTTGACGCCGCAGCTAGCCGTAAGCTTTTTCTCTTTGAACTATGCTCGCGACCTGAGAAGACTTAGAAGCTAACATATTATAGCGGAGGGGGTCTTCCAATGCAGACATTGCCCACGACAGTTCCCCTGCCATCAGCCATATGTGTTCCATTTGCAGAAGCACGGTGACGCCCCCGAACGTATTTACATCGAATACAAGCAACCGCCTGCCTTGAGGCTAGATATCAGAGCCATTCATCGCGTTTGGTGTGATCGCGGTATCCACTGTGTCCATGTAACTATCTCGCAACCCTTTGGACCTACCACTACAATACGAGAAGTAGACGAAGAAGTAATATACACCACTGAAGAATTCCTCCAAGAAGATTTCGATTCTTCGGAAATACACAAAGATGCAGTCAAAAGGATCGAAGAGCTTGATGCGAAATGTTGTAGGCCAATTCAGGGTATAATCATGGTAGGAACTATAAGGCATTCACCTTTGGATTTGAGAACTGATTCTATACAGTCCAGCCCCGAAACTTTCGTAAAACGTCTGCGATCATACATCTTTGCATGTATTCCGACCCTGAGAAAGTCTAAGTCCAGTCGTCAGTCTAGCACATCAAACCCAAAACCGACCTCTCTCTATCCGTCGACAGAAGGTATCAGTACTAAAAACGGGTATGATTCAGTTGCTAACGATTCAACATCAACAGTAAGTTAGCTTACCACTAAGTTTGCTGCTTCCGGCCACATACTTACGCCAGCGCCTTCTCTTAGACAAATACTGTTCTTCCCGAAGATATCACTGCAATTATAGCTGTAGAGTCTTTCTACTCGACTTCCGAAGGTGTTCGTGGCCACGGGGTGCTTGTCGCAACCCGGTCGGACACTATAATTCTCTTACAGAGAGTGGATCTTGGCGCGCTTCAGCTGCACGTGCGCGTCGTGAACCAACTACGATACATAGTTGGTGAACATACCTACGAGGAGTTGTTGAAATTCGAGGAAAAGCGCATGGAGGTTCCATTCCCAGTTTATTCTGGTACCCTATCGGATTCCTTGCCAATTGAAGTAGGCAAAGAGCTTCCGTTGGATGAATGCTGTCCTATGCTTCAAGCCCAAGTTCACAACTTTCTCTCTATGTAGACCGCCCTGTAATACGATCGTAGTTTCCTCATCATCATAGCGCATCTTTTCATCATCATCTCGTCAATGCCATCCTATGCGGGTGTCTTCCAACTACATTAGAAAGGGGATATTTTCAATCGCCGCAAGCAAATTATGCCTAAATATCAACATCATTATGTCGTGATTGCAACTATTGAGGCAAAATGCCGGCATATCTCGTCCCAAGCATCCCGTTGAGAAGCATTAGCGTGACAAATGGTTGAGGCAAGAGGAATGTGATGTGGAGAAAGGTGGCGTATCCCTACTGATGTGGGTAGTGAATGCAGAGCCAATTGCTATTCCATTCAACCGATTGGTGCTGAACTTTGTTTGATAGCTCCGGTTATCTGCCCTTGCATACGTGCTGACATTAGCTTCCACTTTTATAAGTCGCAGTTGCTCCAGGTTTCTAGGAATCTTGGCCATCATCAGTTGCTACCCCCTAAGTATTTCCCCTCACAACTTTCACAGTTTGGCTCTATCATAGCCTCAGTTTCTCAGCGAGATGGACTATCTTCCTGCTCCGGACGCCCAAGACCAGAACACAAGTTCCGCCAACGAGGAATCATCTAGAATTTCTAGGACTCGAGTTTCAAAAGCTTGCAATGAATGCCGCAGTCGCAAGATAAGATGCGATGGAGCTGATCCATGCGAGGGATGCCATCATAACGGCATATTCTGCGTGTACCAGAACACAAAACCATCCAAGTATGTCACTATTAGTGGACTTACCGTTTCTTTTTAACCTTTATAGACAGCAAAGATCTTTAAACAGGTTGCATAATACTGTTGCTACTGTGGTCGAGCAGCTTCGCGGTATACGCGGCGAATTGGAAGGGCTCAACAGAGGGCATTCCCCCTCATATTCCATTCCACTTGACCCTAGACAAGGATATGGAGTAGAAGCGTTCGCGCGCAACGAACTACATCGGCTTTCCAAGTCTTATGTTGAGAATGTGCATGCCCTGCATCCAGTTTTTGACAAACCTCAGCAAATGTGCAACGAATTTATCGATGATCCAGCAGTGCAAAAAGGGATTATCAACTCGTGTGTAAGGAATGTCCAGGTACTCCTCCTTTTCGCATTGGGCAGCTGTCAACCGATTGCCGACGATACGGAACACTCAAGGACCATGCCAGGCCAAGTATATTACTCTTACGCGAAAGACATCCTCAGGTGTAAACTTGGAGAGTGTAATATCCCCGTTGCGCAGGCCTTAACCCTGGCCGCACTATATACGAATCAAAACGGAATGCTTCAAGATAGCTTGGCGCACCTTTGCATCGCTCGCGACATATACAGAGACGTTGTCAGGAAGTAAGTGTAGTTATAACTATATACAAGTTTAGGCTAACAGAACGAAGCAGTACCTCTATCTCTGAAGAAACAAAAAGGAGTTTCTGGATTTATCAGGATCTGGCATGGTAAGTTGCTGATACAAGTGTTTGTACTCTTTTAATTCCCTTTCTAGCGGTATCAATAATTGCTGCAGTTTAATCTCCTCTAATCCTTTTCCCGATCACTGGAACACATTACTTCCAGAGGGAAGTGAGGGACAGTTTTCTGAAAGTGTTTACTGGACGAGAGTATCCCTCCGAATTCTACTTAATGCTCTGCGTGATTTCGCGCGTCCACATTTCCCAACAACGAGGGAAATAGATGAAAAGGACCTGTGTGCGCTTGAGGAACTCGCAAACAGGCAGATTGCGATGCTGGAAGTATGGAGAAAGAATCTGACCTCACAATTGACCTGGAATGGTACAGAACCCCCATCAACTGACCCTCTCTTAGCTTCGCTACGAGCAGAATTCTCTGAGGGTATGGCTGAGTTATTGAGGCCATACCTGGACATTATGCGATATGCACTGCACTCCACTGTCCACTCCACCGAAAATGAGTTGTCGGAAGGCCAGCAAGGCATTCTCAGAGTCCTTCTTTATTGGGAGAAATACGCTCTCTCAAGTTTTGTTTCCTTTGACCGTGTCGGTGCAGCTTCTGACAGCACATACGAGATATACCAAAGCACAAGTGATAGCTCAGTAATGCTGAGCAATCCTATAAGCAAAATGCACACGCAAGTTACTCCGTCACTCATAGGCTATTCCTGATACTGATAATCTCTAGGCAATTCAAAACAGTCTTAATTTTTCGAGCTATTCGTTCCTCTGCAATTTATCCATTGATTGCTAAGCGAACAGAACTTACAGATGAGGTTATGGAAACCCTTCGTCGCCGCACTATCAAAAGATTATCCGAGTTTCAGCCCGGTCATCGAACCTTAACTCAGGATCTTCGGGCTTTGAATAAGCTCTGGTTACTGGAAAACCAGGTCTCATCAGTGGAGCTAATTGGAGTGTGTAACCTGGCATAAGTAGTCCTGAATAGAAAGTCAGATCCAAGTATATTTTCAGCCACTTCTTGCGATGTAGGGTCTTTTTTTTCTAGTCTGCTGCATGGAGATTGCACCTCATAATAACGCATCTAAATGCAATGTCCCAGAGTATATATTCATCCCATATCAGGAACACGCAGACTCCACAGCCCCCCATTCTGATCTATTGGTATGGCGAATAACACCTCTAACATCAGAGCTGCGCTACAGACTATCAGCCAAGCATCTACTGAGTCGCTTGTACCACACATCTGGAAGCTATGTGAAGCCAATGCCGCTATTGCAAAGGCTTTCTTATCTCTTAGTCGAAAATTTTGCGAAGAAACTGGGCAACTCGAAACTCCAGCTAAGGACTTAGCGACGCTAGAAGATACTGACCTTGCAAGTTCTCAGGCTCAGTCCCCAACCATCTTGAGAGATAATACATGGCAGGACGTGTCCCAGGGGACTCTGCAGCAGTACAACTCTCGGCGTGGCCGACCAGAGAATGCCATTGTGAGGCTTGCACAGTACTGGGTTCAGAGGAGACTAGCAGGAACCAGTGTACTCAACGTCGCAGATGAACAAGGGGTGTTAGATGATATACGCAAGGCTGTAATTTCAAGCACTCCTGTATTCTTAGCATTAGTAAGAGGTATAAAGAAAAGAAGGTCCGCAATCAACTCGCGACGCTAGAGAACGCGCGTATAATAGCTACTTTCAATGTTGAAAATGCCACTATCGTCTATGCACATTAGTTAGCTGGGCAGTATGAACACGTCAACGGCTGTCCAGGCTTTGCCCCCTTGGCGGCCACTGAAGCAAGTGCTGTGGCGTTGACTGGGCAGGGTACTATGCAGACCTTTCACCACTGGCTCAACGCCAAATTTAGTTGCCTAATTTTCTCTGGCCTAGGTCTAAGCTTCTAATTACTAAACCACAAGATAAAGGTTTATCCCACATAAATTAACAAATTCTTATTCCATCTTTTGTGGAATCCACTGATCCTAACCCCCACAAACGAGCAATATACTATACATTATCCAACCAGATCCAGTACGAGCGAATTCTTCAACATGGAGCCCGCCGAAATCATAGCGTCTGTGAACCGGGAGAACGCTGAGTTGAAGAACCAAAATCAAAGACTTCTCGGCCAGGTACAAGAAACTCAGGACCAACTTTTTGAAGCGCGTTCGCTGAACAATATATTCCAACATACGTTTCAAGCCCAAGCTATCGAGATCTGCTCAGCTACTGAGACGATTAACAACCTCCACCACTATAACTACTTTCTACAAAGTTACATAGCTCGTGTCGAACAAGAATCAGAGCAAGCAAAGCTAGCATGTAGGCAGACGACCGAGTATTATGAACGGGAAATCGCCGCCGGAAGCTGGTCGGGTCACCAATGGAGCCAGGAAGCGGCAAACCTCAGCTCCAGCACAAGGGATCTTCATCACAATGCCTTGAACAACTTTAAGGCTAGTAATACAAGTGATGAACAGAAAAAGGACCTCATACAGAAGATTATGGAAATCAAGTCGACTGTTTTGTTGAAGGAGATCCAGAACAACAACCTCAAGCATGCCCTTGAGGATCACAGAGCTCGTCTGAAGCAGATTTGCATCAGATCTTCTACAATGATCGAGACTCGGAACGATTTGAATCGCAAACTTGCCGAGACAAACATTGTGCTTTGCTCGAAGGCGGGAAAGAACGCGCGCGCTCTTAGTATGGCTAAGAGGGAAAAAGGAGGCTTGCAAAAGAAGATCAAGGATGCTGAGGAGGAATTACAAAAGTGCCGAGAAACAGAGAAGCAACTGAACGAGGCTATCAAGAGAGAAATGCAACTTCAGCATGAATGCCAGCTTTCACTTGCCGAAGCAGAGGACCTCCGCATTTCGAATGACTTCTACAAGCGCGAGGATGCAAATCAGACGCAAACTATTTCTAGTCTAAAAAGACTGGTAGCAAATTTACAGAAGACAGAGCGGGACGAAGGATACACGAAAACTATCGCCAAACACGAGGCTGAGATTGCGCAGCTTGTTGCGAACCAGGCGCGACTCAGAGACGAGATTCGAAAGCAACAAGAGATTACCACTAAGGCTTTAGAGATGATGAAGGAGCAGAAGAAGATTGCAAATGAGGCAACAAAGGAGGTGGCTACTTACAAAGGACATGCTCTGGCTCTAAAGCACTCGCTGCTAGTCAGCCTATCGCATACCAAGTTCGAAGTTGCCATAAAAATTGTTGATAATGTTTTTCAAGAATTGAAAGATATCAATTCTAAGGAAAAAGCAAAATGGGCGATTCACAGCATCATCGGCTATCTTGAGCAACAATCCAAAACGGTCGAAGACTACACCACGAATGTAGCGTCAAATAGTGCCGAGGTACAAGAACTGATAGAAGATCTTCAAGGCCAGACTCCAAAGGAAGCAAGGCCAGATGAGTTAGATGGCTTCATTGGGTATGTGCGAGGGTTGCAGCATAGGCTCGAGGGAGAGGCTGCGCAGAGGATGAAGCTTGACGTCTAGTACACACATTCACTAGTTAGTCAGTGCAAATTTTTATAACCAGAGGTGCAGGCCCTCTGGTTCGCTCTAAGCTTATAGAACGATATCGTTATCAAGCGTCAGAACGTGGCTTTACCTAGCTCAGACTAACTATTTAAGTCACTTGCAACAGGCTGGGACTTGAGTGTCCTACCTCAACCATATTCTGGCCGCCAGTTCGTTCCTCTCTCATTTACATCATTGGCTTCAGGTACCGCATCGCCCAGATTTCGAGTCAAGACCTCAACATCTTGGTATACCCATGTATCCCAAAAAGATGGCTCCTAGAGTAAGTGCAAACCCCGAAACAGCAAATGCACCCTGGATGTCCTTCCTTGTTATTGACCAGACTATGCCAAAGATCAAGCTAAAAAAGATGATTATGACGAAGCAACAGTAGATCGTTGGCCAATGCCAGTCTTCCTCAATGTGGAGGCCCCATCCAGTCGCTAAGTGGTCCGGAGTCGCTTTGAGCTCTCCCTGGAGCTGTCGTTTTGGTAGCTGATGAAGAGTTGTTCTTTGGCCAGTCGCGATCAAGTGAGGGTTGAGAAAATCTCCCTTCAACATCGTAGGGCCTAATACAGGCACTAAACGTCGCTTCCATGACTTTGGAGCTGGAGCGCAGAGATACTCTTTATCATCCCCTACTATTTCTTCTGGTGGAATACAGAGACAGTAGAACCCAAGATCTCGATCGAGGTGCTCATCAGTAGTGATTCCGCATACGTCTTCATGGCGGTATACATTGGTGGCATTGCTGTAATTAACTTCAAACTAGCAAGGATTCAATTTCTGCGTAGATGTATTTGTTCTCGGAGGCCTACCTGGGCTAAAGACAGAGTTCCGATGCTTCGCAGGGAAAACCAACTGCGTTTCATGAAATATTGGTTTCGCAGATAGATAAATAGCTCACGATCATCGCTTATGTTCCGGAGCACTTCCTGCTTCAGTGTTGTTTTTGCTCTTCTATCATCCACACAAAGCATCAAGCGAATAGCTACTTGTTCTGGATTTTCACATCCTCTCCCAGATGCCCAAACATTAGCAATTGGAGCAAGCTCACAAGAAGGCACCTGCGACTCGTGCTCTCCTAGTTCAGGATTCGAGCGTGGCTGCTGTTGGCCTGCATTTTCCTGACGCAAAACGTTGAGAAATCGCTGGACAAATCCAGGCGTTGCTTTTCTGCTAAGTCCAGCCTGGTCTGGAAGTGTATATCGCTTTTGCAGTGCTGTCTGAAGCTCGAATGCAGCGCCAGGATCTAGCTCAACATAGTCATCGAACATGCACTTGCCACTCTAGTATATATATCAGTATGTCGTTCAAGGAACAGTACATTGTAGCATACTGATGTCCAATAGACACGAGTTCTTCCTTCACCCACTACGGGCACCAGGACTGGGAAATTCAATTTTCGCAAAATTTTGTCCACGAGCAATGGCAAACTTAAAGAAAGTACCGGGTCGTGTATAATAGTCTTCGACTGCAGTTGAGACCTTGAATCGGCCGAAACTCGTCGGGAATTCATCAAATTCCTAACTGTTGGCACGATAACTTGGAGACTATCTTCTCTAGGTGGCACTTCATCGAACATGTCAACTCGCTCTGTGGATGCGTCTTCAGAAGCCTTAGCACAAACTGCTAAGCTCCGTTTGATGCTGTTTATTTCTTCTCGCAACTTGTTTTGTTCGTTGGAGTCTGGATGGACAAAGGTCTGCCCCTGGAAAGCGTCTAAACGGCGAAGAACATCCATAAGATGCACCCTAAGCTGCGACGACGTATAGGTAAGCCTCTCCTTACAATCATCCAGGACGGTGATTGTGGCTCGTTGGGCTGAATTGACAGAGCTGTTAATGTCGATCCGACTGCCATACTCTTCTGCAAATGTGAGCATGCTTTGAGACACAGTGGACTGCCCTTTTTCAATATGCGATGACATTTCGGCGCATATATCAAGACATCTCTGTATGCTATCACGCTCGAGCTGGATCTCTTGTTGGTCCAAGTTCGTCTCACAAGAGCTTGAACTACCAGCAACAAGAGTTTGTAGCTTGTCGTTGATCCTTTGTAGGTTATCTTCGAGATCTGACACGGTATTTTGTATCAGCTCTTGATATTCGTCCAGTGCTTTGGCTGTGATCGTAGCTTTTCGCCTATTATGTAAAAGATTAGTCCTAGTTATTCGCAAAATGGTAAGGTTTACTTACAAGTTCGCATCACAGAGAGCGATGGTGATTGTAGACTTGTATCCTGCCAGTAGGGCTTTGAACCCTTCGATGTCGTCGCCCAGATATTTCAGTTTTGCCCAATCTCGAAAACTTGCTAGAGAACTATGAGATTGCTTAGTGGCATCCTTGACGACCATATTGAACTCTAGACAAGCACTTCCACATCTGAAGAGAGGAAGTCTTAGAAGTGTGAAGTCTGCCTCATTATCTAGGATAACCTGGTGTAAAGACGCTAACACTAAACTCAGCGCGTCTAATTCTGCTTTCAGTTCCCTCACATGTTTGTGATGATTGTTGAATTCTTTGAAGGTCTGATACAGCGTAGAGCTCGACTTAACACCGAAGGTAACTAGCGTGATAATCCCCGATGCTGCGCTGATTGGATCCGCCATCTTAAAGACAGTGAAAATAGCGCAAATGTAGTTCAAACGACGTTCAGAAGTTTGGTTCGATGATAGAGCGATGACGCGAACAAAATTTGCTGTTAGTGGGGCAACGCGAACAAGTGGATCGAGGTCATGTGCGTAGCTGAACCCTGCTATCGCCGGATAGACGCCTTCCAAGAAAGAGTCAATCAAGACGCGTTTTGAAAGCAGGGCTCTCGGCATGCTCGCTACCACGTTCGAGTGGGATTATGCATAAGCCTACAGGCGGGTGTTGTTGAAGAGACGATTAACGTCGACGAGACAATCAACAGCTAAGCCCAATACCACGACAATCCTTATCAGAGATAAGTCGATCTAAGAAATAGCTAGTTACTGGAGAATCTTTGAGTTTTGTTTAGTTGCTTCCTATCGTAAGTTAGTAAGCTTCTCGCATATTAAGTTTAGTATAGTACTTAGCCTATGCTAATCTATCTAGAGACTTGTTACACGGGGTTGGGCTATACTTCTCTAAGCTTCGATCCGGGTTAGGGCGAGGCGAGTCCAAGCGTAAGTCCGCGTGAGGGTTTCGACGATTGCGATAAGGAAAAGAGTTATGGAAGTTAACCGAAGATGAAACCTTCAATTCTATAAGGATAGAATAACTAGTATCAATCTGTGTAGAAGATGAACTATTCTGAGTTGACCACAACGAGTGTAATAATGAGATCCAACACATTCTTATACCCATTGCCTTCAGTCCTGCCATCAGTGTTCTGCACTGCCATCACTGATGGCATGCTCCACCTGTGATGGCAGATCACGTGACTAACGCCCCGCGCTGGTCATTACCTTCTGACGTGGACGTGGTTGGCCTTCAACCTCGTCGTCCCTGTCAAGGAGAGAATCCTTCTTGTTACTTGTAACAAGACTCTACAATTAGAGGTAGGGGATGCCTGTTCTTGATAGTTATCTTATTCAGGCCCCTATAATCGACGCACAGCCTTATACTGCTATTCTTCTTCTTAGCGAAGAGTATTGTTACAGGTAACAAGAAGGACTCTCTCCTTGACAAGGGACGGCGAGGTTGGAAGCCAACCACGTCCACGTCAGAAGGTAATGACATCGCGGGGCCCGAGGTCACGTGATGAGTGCTCCCGCCAAGAGCCGTGCTCCCGCCAAGGAAGGGAGAACGGGAGGCCTTGGGAGAATTGTGCTCCCACTGCTCCTATGGAAACAGGCTTCCAGGGGAGAATGGGGAGCACTAGGATATGAAGCAATGGGTATAAGAATGGGTTGGATTTCATTATTACACTCGTTGTGGTCAACTCAGAATAGTTCGTCTCTTACACAGATTGTGTAAGCAGTTGAGGGTGTAAGAAGTATTGTGTATTCTCGTGTGTATCATCATAGCAGCAAGTTTAAATACAGTGTTATTAGTCAGTGAGTAACCACGTGACTATACATAGTACTTCTGGGCTTACACACCTCCCTCAGATTCGAACGCATGTTGAAGCTGATGTGATCGTAGGCCACCCCCTGCTCTGTATACGGGTAGGGCTGCTTGCATGAGTGCGGTGGGTAACCGCTTGTATTGGAGCAGTGCCAGGTGGGGATCGTCCGCCGTCGCGGTGTAGGTGGATCTCGCTCTGTACTATGGGCGTCCCCAGTAGTCGGACGTCTCCTAGAGCTAGCGCTGAGGTCCTGACTGCTTCTTGTTCTTGTGTGGAGTTCAGTAGTGTGCCTTGATATTAAAAGAAAGAGCTTTGTAAGCGTACAGCCTCGTTAAACCTGTAAAAACCATATAGGAAAAACCAGGAAGAGTACTGCACTATGTAGCTATAGCTAGTGTAGTGGGAAATATATTGAAATGTAAAAGTGATACCGAATTTTCGTGTCTCTGACGAGGCAGTAGCTTGGTAAGTCCATCAGCGGGTTGAACGTTGGTTGGTATATATGTAAGGTTGAAGTTGTGAGCTTGTGCTTCTTGACGGAGCCAGTGATGGTGTATGTCGACGTGCCTAAGCGACGTCTTAAGTCGTGGTGTAGCTGCTGTAATCAGCCGTATCGTCTGTTGGTTGTCGCAGTACAGTATCTGCTTATTGCCTGGATCAAATTCAATCTCCTTGAACAGTCTCCACCACCATAGCAGCTCTGTGCCTGCAGACGAGGCGGCGATCAGTTCAGCTTCAGTGGTTGATTTTGTGACACATCGTTGTAGTGTCGCCTTCCAGTCGATCGGGCCGCCAAACAGGAAGAAGATGTAGCCTTGCGAGCTCTTCCTTGTGGCCTTGTGGTCGGCGTACGAAGCATCTGTAGCACCATAGAAGTCTGGTTCTTGATGATCTTCGATGTGTGCTGTGTCGGTAGAGATGGAGGCATTATAGTACAGTGCCCGATCCTTGGTAGAGTATAGATAGCTGAGCGTTTGATAAGCAGCATTGATATGCTGTTGTGAAGGATTGGTGAGAAATTCAGCCAGCTTTGAATGCGCTTTTGATACATCAGGCCGTGTGGCAGTTGCAACGTAGCCAATTGATCCAACTAGCTGCGCGTATCTGTGTATATTCGCGTCATTTCTTGGCTGGTCTGAAGGGAGTAGTTCCTCTAGAGGGAGAGGAGTGGCTGGAGGCCGCTTGAACGACTTTGTTGATGGATATTTGGCGCTGAGCTTGTCGAGATACGCTGACTGTGATAGCCAGATAGATCCAGTTGATCTGTCGCGGCGTGTTTGTATTCCACAGAAGGTGGATAGTTCTCCAAGCGATCGGATCTCATATCGACGTAGTAGCTTACGCTCAAAGTCGTCAAGTGCTGCTGTATGGGCTGGACGCGCGAGTACAACTATATCATCAACATAAAAGAAGACAACTAGCTTTTCATTTCGCCAAAGACAAGGTGCCTCTTTGACTTCTTGAAGACCTAGTTCTTTAAGTGTCTTTGTGAGCTCTTTATACCATAGTAGTGGCGAGGCTTTAAGACCATAGAGGGCTCTGCGTAGCTCCCACAGATGCTCAGGATCAGAGAAGCCTTCTGGTGGGTGACAGTAAACAGGTGTATTGAGTTGAGCATTGGTGAATGCGTTGACTGCGTCGTATTGGCGTATTTCAAGGTTGAAGTATGCTGCAATAGCCATAAGTCCTCGAAAGATGCGTGTAGCTAAAGTTGCAGCGTACGTGTCTTCAGCTGTGGCTTGAAGATCGCCTCGAACACAGAGTCTGGCTTTATATTTGACTAGGTATCCCTCATTATCAAGCTTATATTTGAACACCCATATAAGCGGCAGGATTTCAGTGTCTTGAGTGTTGAAATCCTTCCAGGATATAGTCTTATACGTGTCCTTGCGCTTAATATCTAAGATCTCGCGTTGCATTGCTGCTATAAAGCCTTGCTTATGTACGGCAGGGAGCTTCATAACGTCTTGGTAGAAACGTGGCTCAGGAGGTAGCGTTGAGTGGTGAAACCGTGTCTTTGGAGCTGTGATAGATGCTGCCACGAACGTGGACCAGTACTTATGGACGAAGAAGCTGCTGCTTTTGCGTGTGGGCTTCCTAGATCTTGCTGCTCCTTCTGGCAGTATATGTGAATGGCGTAGATTGCCGTCGATAAGTTCGCGATTTGCCGCAGCATTTGTGTCCACTGATTGTTCTATTGAGTCGCGTCGCTTTCGTTTTCTTGAAGTGCGAGTAGATGGCTGTGTTTCTGGAGTAGGTGTAGAACTGTGGCTAGCTGCAGCTGGTAAGGCTTGGTGATATTCTAAGTGATTTTCTGGATCTGGAGTAACTGTTACAGCTGGTGTAGGGAGAGATCGGTGTCCTGTGTCGTGGTCCTCATGAGGTTTTTCAGTTCTTTGTGTAGACGAAGTCGGTATATCTATATCCTGGCTGGCTGCTGTTGTAGCGCCTTCGTGCTCTTCTTCAGAAGACTCTTCTGGATTCTGCAGTGGTGGCATATGGATTGTATGTATAACCTCTTGTATCTCTTCGCCTTGTAGTAGTGGATCTTGACTATCGAAAGCTTGGTAGAACATGTCCTCTCTGAATGTTACATCACGTGTACGAATAACCTTGCCTTGATGTGCTTTGCTCTTTGCTTTTGGTATCCAGATTCTGTAGATATTTGAAGCATCATAGCCAACAAGGTAGCCTATCAAAGCACGAGGAGTGAGCTTATCACCTCGCGGTATCTGCGTGCGTAGTGCGTATGCTCGGCAGCCATATATTTTAAGATGAGCTATTGAAGGCTTCTTGCAGTACGCTATTTCAAATGGTGTTTTCCAGCTGATTGATCGCGTAGGCGTACGGTTAAGTAGATAGCCTGCAGTGACGTACGTCTCTGGAGCAAGATGGAGTGGTAGTTTTGACGTGCTTAGCATGGATCGTGAGCAGTCAATTAGAGTCTTGCCTGATCTTTCTGCAGAGCCGTTCTGCTCTTTCGTATGTGGAGCCCTGATTTGGAATCTAATTCCTTCTTGCTGACAGTATGCTCGCGCTGAGTCGTCTGTCAGTCCATAGCCTCGTTCGTCGTCGGCTATTATGAATGTGACAGTAGTATTGAACTCCCGTTTGATTGTACGATCTAATCGAGTGATCACTTCAAGCAGAGTTTCTTTATCGCGTTTTGGAATCGAGTATACGAAGTTGAACTTGGTGTATAGGTCAAAGGCATGGAATATATATCGATGTCCATTGTAGCCTATAGCGTCGAGCTTGATGATGTCGATTGCAACTGTCTCAAATGGGCGAGACGCGCCAATCTCATGTCCCATGCGACGAGAGATGATCTGATGGGCTTTATTCTGTGAGCACTCTTCGCAGTCTATCGTACGTGGTGCGAGGCTAGCAGGTGATTGGTGGATGCCTCGAACATTTTCTGCTAGGTGGTCGATAGCATCACTGCCCGCATGTGCCATAAGGACATGGAGCTGAGGCTTGGTGAGTACTCGAGGTTTGAGGGGTTGAGCTGAGTACTGAGGCCTGCGTTGATTGGTTGCGAAGGCTGCATGTTGAGTAGATTGGATTGGTGGAGGCTGAGTACGATGCACTACTAGCCAATGGCCTCCTAGACGAGTAAGACTTGCAGCGTCTTCACGAGTGTTGTTGACAGCTCTATAAAGGACGTTTCTTCCTGAGTCGAAGTGGATATCTGATGAGGATAGGCGTGATAGCGAGACAAGGCTGGTGAAGAAGGATTGGATCAGAGCCACGCGCTTCAGCGTCGTTGTCTTGATGCCACTTGGTGTTGATAGAGGCAGCTTGACTTCACCCCATGCCTCGATTTTCGTCTCAGTTCCTCCTGCGAGGACGATGTCGTCGTCAGCTGCTGGAGATTTCCACTCAAACTCTGCAAGGTTGTTGCAGATATGAATATCGGTGGCTGGATCTAGCGTCCATGAGTGGGCGAGTGGATATTGTTGAGCTACTCTCTGGTTGTTGAACGCGGAAAAGAAGACGGCATATGCTTCGTGCGGGGAATTACCAGCTAGTGGGTCTCCTGCGTCAATTTCTATCGAATCGGAGTCTGACGCTTTGCTATACTTGCTGCCGCCCCTGGCCTTATACTTCTTAAAGCGTCGATTCTTTTCCCGAATCTTGCTTAGTACCCCACGACTATCCTTAGTCTCAAAGTCAGCAATCTTCTTGGCTTTTTCAGGGTCTACGACGAATCCTCGTTGCTGGAGTGCTGTATCAATGTATGGACATTGGCCCCAGAAATGACTGTCGCCACATAGGCAGGGCTTTGTTGGCTTAGTTGCTTCGTCTCTTGATCGTTTCTTGTTGACATATGGAGACGGCTGGCCACTTATCGTCGCTCCAAAAGCACCTCCATGGATATTCACCTTTCTTGAGTAGGTGGTACGGTAATAGCGCAGGTACTCGGCAATAACAGTAGGAAGTTGAGACTGATGGGGTATTGGCTTGCTGCGATCTGAGTTCCAGTTCTCCTCAGCTTTGAATATGTCGAGCGACGCGCTGGCGGCGTATGCGGCATCAACTTGCTTAATGGCGCGAAGAAGATCTTTGTGTGCTCTGAATCCGTGTACTTCAGGCAGGTCAAGTTGCTTTGCTCTACTATATGCAGTAAGGAACTCGCTGCACCAGTCTTCGACATTTGCCCGTCTAGCATGAAGAACCTTTGCTGCTTCATAGTCTTTCTGCACTCGATACTCCATATCAGAGGTGGTAGGAGAGTAGAGTTCTTGTAGCGTCTTGATTTGGTCGTAGACTGTTGCCTTGTCTTTGATATGATATAGCAGCTCCTGTTGAATTGTCTTAGTAATGTGAGCTTCAACTTAGCCTAACTTATCTCTAAGACGTCTGTATTCTTTGATTTCTTTGTAGTAGCTACTGCGATCCTGGTTGTACTGCAGTAAGTCTTGCTGAGATGGTAGAGTTGCAGGAGATCCGTCGGCATTGACAGTGGGCGCTGGCCTAGTAGGCTGGACAGGCTTTTGCAGAGGATTGGCTGGTTTGTTGGGATCAATGTATTCCCATACGTCTCCTGCTTCGGCAATACGCTTGACGATGAAGATCCAAAGCTCCCAGTTATTCTGTCCTTGAAGGATGATATCCGAACGAACAGTGTGCGTCGACATGATAGTATAGGTGGGTAGGTAGTCAATTGATTGAGAAAATATGCGGATTAGGCCGGGCTCATAACTGTAAGCAGTTGAGGGTGTAAGAAGTATTGTGTATTCTCGTGTGTATCATCATAGCAGCAAGTTTAAATACAGTGTTATTAGTCAGTGAGTAACCACGTGACTATACATAGTACTTCTGGGCTTACAGATTGATACTAGTTATTCTATCCTTATAGAATTGAAGGTTTTACCTCTGGTTAACTTCCATAACTCTTTTCCTCATCGCAATCGCTAAACCCTCACGCGGACTTACGCTTGGACTCGCCTCGCCCTAACCCGGATCGAAGCTTAGAGAAGTATAGCCCAACCCCGTGTAACACTTTGACCACCATCGATTCGGTGTGGAGGAATTAACCAACAGGTCGCTCGAATAAGATTACCATAATGGCGAGTAATGGAACCCAGGCTACCCAAGGGCAGCAGGAGCCCACGGTACCTACCCCAGCACCAGGCCCGGCGCCAGCTCTCGACGACGAGATGCTGGAGGCCAGTGACTCGGAATCGTCAGGAGACGAAGGGAACACCAACGCCGAGGTACGAGATCTTAAGCGACAACTGCTCATCCAGGCGCGTCAGATGACGGCCATGCAAGAGTTGATGACGCAGATGGCATCTCAGTTCATGGCTACGCCAAATGAGAAGCCACCCCCGAAACCCAAGATGGCCGTACCCGAGAAGTATGAAGGAGGTCGGAACGAACTCAGGACCTTCCTTACCAATATCGACTTATATTGCGGATTCAACAACGTACCCAATGATCAGGAAAAGATTCTCATGGCAAGCACGCACATGAAGGGCAAGGCAGCCACATGGATGCAGCCATATGTCGAGGATTTCCTAGCATCAACCGCAACCTACGGAACTAGGATCGAGACGCGAAACCTATTCCAGGATTGGAGCCACTTCAAGGAAGAAATGGGACGCATCTTTGGGGAAGTAGACGCAAAGAACCAGGCAGAGAAAGCGATAACTCGCCTGAAGCAGACCACGTCCGTATCCACGTACACGGCAGAGTTCAAGCAACTCCAGGCCAGGATAGACTGGGACGACGCAGCACTTCGAACGGTTTTCGAAGCAGGTCTGAAGGAAAATGTCAAGGATGGTCTTGTACACCATGATAAGCCGGAATCGCTACACGCTCTGGTAGAGCTAGCGACACGAATCGACAACCGCCTATGGGAAAGGAACGAACAAAAGAAGCGACAGTTCAAGCCCAATGTTGCCAACATGAAGAAATACCGCAACAAGTACGACAAAGACGGCGACGCTATCATGACGGGAAAAGTACAGGAGAAGACCAAGGACAGGAAACCCCGAGGAAGAGGCTACGACGGCCTTTCCAAGGAAGAACGCGAGAGGCGTTACGCCAGTAAGGCATGTCTCCGATGCGGCGAAGTAGGACACTTCCGCAGAGATTGCCCGAAGAACGAAGTCAAGCAGGCAGCAGTAAAGATTGGAATGCTGAAGGCTCAGCGCTCTTTACTAGCACCAGACGGTGCACTGGAGGACGACAACCTCAGTGATCTGGACCTCTACGATGAGGCACGCCTAGCTGACAGCACGGAATATGTGGTTATCCCGGAGCTCGTACGAGCGGATAAGTCCATGAAATGGGAGGTTCCCAGGCCAACTGATTGGATCGTTAAGGACGACGACGCCAAAAGACGTATGGCCCACAACCAATGTTGGGTATGTGGAGACGCCACACACCACGCCAATGACTGTAACCTTAGAGGAGGCCGGATAGCAGTCACAGGACCAAATGCGAAGGAAGCATTGGACCAAGCCAGTCAGGCACAGCCGTACTTTACAGACAGCCTACCAACAGTGGAAGACAACCGCGAAACGGAACACCGAAAACTTCACTGGGTCGACTGCGACAGTATTGAGTACTGCCAGTACCACAAGGACGAGAAGCTACGCACACAGTATGAGCAAGATAGCTGTTGCCATGGATATCTGGAAACGACAGACTGTATGGTTCGGAATTGCCACCTCCACGAACCCGGACAGCTGGAAGACGAGCATTGCACGCTCGCCTGGCACGAATGCAAGATGGATTTTTGCATATACCACGCAGATGCTAAGGAACAGTGTCGAATGGACGAAGACGCCCCCGGACACGAGCATCTATGGGCAAGTGAGTGCCCTATCCTCGATTGTCACACGCATAAGGAAGCGCACCGAATGGCGCATGAGCATGAGATATGGATAAACTGTATAAACAAATGCCGATTCCACCGAGAGCAGAGAATCGCGGCAAGGCAGGAAAAGCACCACCTGCACAAGACTGTTGCGGCCAGCGAATGCCGGACAGCGGGATGTAGGAAACATGGGACGACAAGGGATCAAGCTCGGGTACCGGATACCCTGGAAGCAATGATACCCCATGGAAACATCCATTGGTCCTTTTGCACCGACGACGACTGCATGACGCACTTCGATGCAAAAGCGGACCGCGGTCATTTCCCACAGAAGTCACACATCAGGAAAGGGAAGATGACGCACCAAAGGAAGATCGACGATGAAGGCACGATATCTCATAGGCATGTAGACTGGAAGTTATGCTACAGGGACGCCTGTCCAGTCCACCGGGATGCTAAAGAGAGAGCCGGACGATTTCCCAAGGGACAGAAGAGGTCGGAAAAGGGTCGACTCTCTAAGCCAAAAAACTAGGATGCCGTCCGAGGCAAGGGCCCTCCGACAACGGCAGTCCAACCAAAGCCCTCAAGAAAGTACGGAAGACCGAGAGTCGCACAATGTCATTGTACGCGACCGTGACTGTACATGGACACAGGATCAAGGCGCTCGTAGACAGCGGAGCGGCCTACACGATCATTTCCTCCAAGACAGTGGAGAAGTATCGGATACCATATCGGGTCGAGACGCCGATACCGATAGTGCTGGCCGACGAAAAGCCCATGGAATATGGTAACGGCATGATACGGTTGGAGACCGAAACGATAGATCTGCAGGTAGCAGATATCAACAGCACAGCACGAATCAACATCATGGATCTCGGAGAAGAAGACATGTTGATGGGTTACGATTGGCTAGGACGCCATAACCCAGCCATCGATTGGCAAAAGAAGACTATACTCAGCCGAGAATCTGCGCGCAAGATTGCTGGAGTACGATACGAGACGCGCCCGGTTATCCAGAGCTCACCCCGGTCGGGGCGGATAGGTACGATCTCACCGCATAAGATCGCGAGAATCTATGCGAAGGACCCTCAGAAAGTAGGAGTCATGTGGATAAGACGAGTCGCGACCACGAAGGACGGACCCTTACCAACGTTGGCGATTCCAACACCATACCAAGATAACGAGTTCAAGGAACTGTTTGAGGAAAATGAAGCAACAGACTTAGCAGAACACCAAGAATGGGATCACGAGATCATCTTGGAGGACGGAGCAAAGTTGAGCCCAGGACCAATGTACCCAATATCGCCCGAGCACGTCGCTGAGCTGAGGGTATTCCTTCAGAAGAATCTGAAGAAGGGATTTATTCGACCAGGACAAGGCCCGATGGCCTCGCCAATATTGTTCGTAAAGAAGCCTAATGGGAAGTGGCGACTGTGTGTCGACTTCCGGAGGTTGAACGCGGTCACGAGAAAAAACAGATATCCCTTACCACTGATAACAGAGCTCATGGATCGACTCCAGGGAGCAAAGTGGTTTACGAAATTCGACTTTCGGGAAGGATTTTACCGTATTCGAATTGCCAAAGGACACGAGTGGAAGACAGCTTTCAAGACAAAGTATGGACTGTTTGAGTTTCAGGTTATGCCAATGGGCCTGACAAACGCTCCCGCCACTTTCCAAGCAGTCATTAACCAAGCACTACACGAGTACTTGGGTGTCTTTGCAACAGCGTACTTGGACGATGTACTAGTGTACTCCAAGGGGACGCTTGAAGAACATGTTGAACATGTCAAAAAGGTACTACGGAAGCTTAAAGAATACAAGCTGTACCTGCAGCCAGGAAAATGTGAATTCCACAAGAAAGAAACGGAATTCCTAGGCTACATTATCTCAACCGAAGGTGTTAAGATGAATCCAAAGAAAGTCCAGGCGGTGCGGGATTGGAAAACCCCCAAGACAGTAAAGGACGTGCAATCCTTTCTAGGATTAGCGAACTTCTATCGAAAGTTCATCAGGAATTACTCCCGGATTACCACACCTCTCACGGAGATTACCAAAAAGGATGTTAAGTTCAAGTGGGCTAAGGACTGCCAGGACGCGTTCGATACGCTCAAGCAGATGTTCCTAGAAGACCCGGTGCTTGAAATGTACGATCCTACACGGAAGACGCGGGTCGAGACCGACGCGTCAGACTATGCACTCGGAGCTGTATTGTCACAGCAGTGCCCAGACGGGAAATGGAGACCGGTGTTCTACCATTCTCGGAAGTTCTCGAAGGAGGAACGAAACTACGATGTTCACGATAAGGAGCTACTCGGAGTAGTCGATGCCTTTGAACAATGGGAAGTGTACCTGTTGGGACTCCCAGACACGATCGAGGTGTTTACCGATCACATGAATTTGACGAGTTTCATGACAACAAAAAAACTCAATCGACGACAAGTCCGATATGCTGAGATGTTAGCTCAGTTTGACTTTAAGATCACTCATCGAGCAGGGACGCTCAACGGAGCGGCGGATGCCCTAAGCCGAAGATCTGACCTAAAGGAAGATGATCACGAGGAACCCCACGATGCAGTATTCAAGAAGATGCCTGACGGCACTTTACGTTATAACCAGCCGGAACTGATTCGAGTAATCAAGGTGGCCGCGCAGGTAGAAACGCTTCAACAGCAATGGCAGCAGAAGGCAGCCAGCTGGCAGTTCGAGCCCAACGACAGCGGCTCCGGTGAACTGTTACAAGACGATAAGGAGTACCGGGATATGATTTCGAAGGACCGAACATATGTACCTCCGCACATGAGATCGAGT